CAACATCAAACACAATGACCCTAAAACCTCTTTCGTCAACAAAATGCGATTTCGAGAATCGTCGTCACAATTGTCTCCAGCGATTAAACCTCAGCTTAAAAGTTAAAAATATTGAACAAAGTCCTTTTGAAGGCCCGTCTTTAAAAAAAAAAATGTATTTTTTTTTTAATCATATTGTTTGCCTAACCTGGGTTTTTAATAAAGATATTGTGTACTAAACATTTGTTGACAGTTGTTGAAAGAAGTTTTCAGTGTCATTTTCTTTGTTGTTTCAAACAGTCAGAATACACATTAAACTGCTTTTTTTTGACGAACAGATTTCAGGGTCATTGCGTTTAAATGGTGTATTCTTTGAACAGATTGAGCAGTTTCAGGAACTTTTCAATCTAAAAGTAGCTTATGAAATTGGCTTTCCAGTCATGATTATGTTTGGTGCTACATATTTTTTTTGAATATGAAATATTTTCGTTGGGGTTGGGGTTCCGCTTTTTTGGACTCGCTCTGTATTTGTAACGTCGAACAGAACGAAACTCGTCAAGTTCCATCATGACCTAGACATCAACAGTCTTCCTGCATCGTCATGTGGCGCTGGCCTTATAATCATGATAATGCCGAATTTTCCTGCTGCTGCAAGGAGATAAAAATTCATCAAATTGAAAATAAAGTAAATGTACATAGAAGTATTTATATTATAAAGGCCTCATTAAAAAAAAACCCAGCTGTTAATGGCTATTTTTCATAGGTAATTGTGGTTACCAATGACCGTAAAATTTAATTGGAAGCATACCGGGGCGGATCTACAGGGGCAGATAGGGGAAATAGTCGGGAATTGTGCCTTTGATGATACAAGCATGGCATTTGGAACACAGTCAGAGCATGGAAATTGTCCTTTGACAAAAAAAATATAGATAGAATTAACAAGCAATTATTAAAATTTTCAAAATGGCTGTCATTGCTTGTTATTCTACCTATATTTTTTTCAAAGGGCAAATCTGCGATGGCCCCATGGCCAAAAATCTTTCTCATGACATACTCATGAGAAAGAATATTTACTTTACTTTATGCCATGGAGTCCACATAGACTACACATTTACCATGCATTTATGCACAGAATTAAACCATGGAAATGCGAGTTACTAACCATTCGGCATGGGTAAAAATTGTCCAACTCGAAATGTTTTTTACGTTCTTTCATCTGCATGAATCCCGTCTCGTTTTCTATGGTTTGCAGCCATTAAAATGCTAATTTTATCGTCTGATGAAATTGCTTTTGAAGTCAATCCATCCCTCTCGGCTCTTGGATTGACAAGAAAACAAATTTGCCGCAGGGCCTAAGCTAATTTACGTTAATTCGAATAAAATTGCCGTGGTCGATATACACCTGGTGCGTTGCCGGTATCTTACAGCCGTTCTGTTGTTATTTTAATTGAGTAACAATGAATGCACGAAAGGTTTACTTATGCCTATAGGGGACTTTCAAATTAACATTGAAAACGAGGCTCTCAATGCTAATTAACCCATTGTATGAATCGAGGACCTTTAGTTGTTTATCCTCTCAACAAGACAGCACAGTGCCTCGGCCAATTTGTGAATTAGAAATTCATCTATCCCAGCTATACAAAGCTAAGCCAATGATTTCCAACCCCGCCTTATAATTCACGCGTGTCTATTATATAGACAGTTATTCTGCCTCTCGACAAATCGGGAGCCAAGTTGTCATTAGCCCCGCCCACTTTGGTTTGTGTACATTTCTCATACAGTGCTTGCGTGTAACCCAGTCGTGGTACTGCGGGCACGTGACCGAAAATCGTGATCTAATTGGTCGACGAGCTCTGGTTGATTGACAAGCAGGAATTCGGAAGTGTCCATTTCGTGGCAACCTCGTCCCCAGGGTGTCAAGCAGTACGCGCTCACCACTACCTGCTCTCTCACCCTGGTATTGGATCATTTGCATGTGCAAGATTTTTTGAACACGTATGCAAATGAGGAATAGTCTGGTGCCTGCATGTGCGTTACATTAGCGTTTGTTTTTGTATGCGGTGTCTGGAGTAGAAACAGCATCAATTCGTGGCGCCGTGAGTTATAAAAACGCGATTTTTTTTTGGAAGTTAAAATGTTACAATTTGGCCCGCCAATATGCAGTATCACATTTCATATTGTTGAGCAAACTGGAAAGAAAAGGAGTATTATTGAGAAGGCGATGGACGTTACAATTACAATAATCGTGAAAACCTGTAATGCACGTTGGAAATAACAACACCAACTGCACGATATAAATCCATTATTAGCAAATTGCGATATCGAATCAGAATACAGGAAAAAAGTTTCCTATCCAGGGCTTACTATTGGAAACGAGATTGGAAATAAAGTAAGCACCGGGGCAGGGGCGTCAATCGCTTCTCAAAAGTGTGGGGGGGGGACATATACCTTGATCACAACTAATGCCAGCGCAAAGAGCGAAGCCCTTACGGCGTGGTAGGGGTTCGGGGCCCACTTAAGGGCCCCGAAAAAAAAATCGGATTCTAGATTTCTGAGGCAATTTCTGACCACTCTAACCAATATGTTCTCAGCAAAAGATAATAATTTAAACATCATTTTCGAGGTTAAAGTCATTGAATAAACTATTATATTTTCAGCTAAAGGCGCACCACTGATTACTAGCGCACATTGGATAAACACTCAAGTTGCGTTATCTTCTGTTCCAATGCTACTTTGTGTGCAGCGGGCGTGGTTTAAACTGAAGTGACGTCACACGAAGGAACCGGATAGACCTTGAATTCAATCGCCGACGCGTAGTTGGCACATTTTGCCAACCACGGGTTGCCAAACTATCGAAGGCCCAACACTACATTTAAGAATTGTAATTAATAGATTGCAACAATATTATCTGATTGTTGAATATACAAAATAATCAACAGTCAACAAAATACATCCTTACCATGCCATTTTCTTATGTAATGAGGGTGTTAATCGGAGGACCACGAGAGAAAATATGTCGCCAACCACGGCTTCAATTTATGCCCTTGCGGCAGCCCATTCAAAATGGCGCTTAATGTTTAACAGAAAGGTCAATACTGTCCGAAATGTTGAGTTTCCCCGGTTCTTTTTAAAACCCCACAAATTCACACAAGAGATTGTCACATGGTGGCACCGTAAACTCTTATGAAAAAAAAATGCTTTGCACACCAAAATATGCCACAGAAAAAAAAACCAAGTTTAGCAGACACACTGCTATGCAATTAGGTCAGTAAGTTCAGATTTAATATAACTCCAATTTCAAACAACTGCACACCACAGATTATTTTTACAACAAACAAAATATGCTTTCCAAATTTAAAACTTGTATTAGCAAATACATGCCATTTGGTTTCATCATACGCAATCATCCTACAATGTATAAACGCTTTGGTAAATCTGTTAACAAAAAAGCACACAACACTCGAAAGCAAAACATTTTCATGTGTAACTAAAATTTGTTCTTCAAATTTTTTTAAAAGCTCCATTATCGATCAACTAAAACACGTAGCTGCCAACATTTCAAAATCCCAATTAGTAATCAACCCGCGCGGTCATTTTCAACTTCTCGTTTTATCGAAAGCTTTACCAACATCGAGTACAGGTACATGGTTTACATGTACACATACATGTGCATACCCTTCTTGTTGTGAACAATAATGTACTGTAGGCAAAAAGATAATTTAAAAAAAAAAAAAAAAAAAAAAAAAAAATATTTTTTTTTATTTTTTATTAATTTTGTTTTAATGTCTGTATTTGTTTGTTGAAGTCAAATAAATAATAAAATCAATAACATGTGCGCATATTTTCTTGAGATGCATGCTATCGATGTTGAGTTTCGAGTTCGTATCATGTTTTTACACACAATGATCTATGGCCACCGTATGCAATAGAAATATCCTGCCAACATACCTTGCAAACGCATGCTGATTTATCTTTTCTGTCCGTTGTGACAAACTCAAACTCTATTACCAATTATTCCAACCATACTCTTATTAAATTCCATGATTAAAATCTCGCACTGATGGGTCTCATCCCGGCAATAAGCGACTAAATGTGCTCACTATCGTCACTGAAAAGTAGTCACAGTACACACAACCACACATCCACGAGATGCACACAAATGACACACCATTGAAAAATGTTTTTAGTCTGGTCCTCAAGTACTCCACTGCGCACACTTCATTGATGTCTATCAGGTGCTTGACTGCATTCTTATTAGACTTGTCACCAGTCCATCCATTATTGCGTTTTCGGTCAAAAACGATACTTTACATTTTTTTTTTCGTTAGGTAGAAAATGGGAAATTCGTAATGTTTTAGTGGCAAATCGTATTTTCGTAATTTAACAAACAATTCGTAATAATTACGAAAAAATCGTACTAGTTGGCAGCTATGCGTTTTAAAATGCACAAACTGGAGTGTTTTACAGCAATAATAAAAACACAAGAACAAAACCTACGTTTACATTCATGCGCTGAAATTACTACCATGTTCAAAATGTTTTAGTTGCGGTATTATTTTTTTATGTACAATGTCAATTATATAAAAATATGTACGTAATAAATTATGTATGCTTATATTATATATGTATCAATTAACAACTTCACATCAGATCTCAGCAACTGTTGGCATGCAGTGCCCGGGTAAAAAAAAATTCTAGTTAAAAAAATACCTCATTACCTAAGCTAATTAGTAGTTCTTTAAGTTATATCTTTTTCTGCAACTGCTTGGTGATGAGAGTAAATAACACACACTTCTGGCAATTTTAAAAGCAACACCTTTACACAAAAATACAGGGTGAGTCAAAAACGACCGAAGCCCAAATGTCGGGACCATTGTTTTAGTGAAGTTCTGCATGTAGCACTTTCAAAATCTAGGATATGAAAGCCCAATTCATAAGCTTTCTTTTAGTATAAGAATCATTCAAATCACCCTTGTACTCTTCAAGTTACGGAATTTTAAACACAACCACCGTTTTAAAAATCTGTCCACGGATCACAAAAAGGTGCTATCAGCAAAACAAAAATCCTTTTGTGATTTGGTTACATTTGCTGAAAGAACACTTACCCTCTTCTTGTGATCCGTTGACAGATACCGATGCCCAAATTCCTTAGGGTTAGGGTTGGGGAACATCGGTATTGGGGAACATAGGTATGCACCCTTCAATAAGAATATCAACCCCCCGAGTATACCAGACACCCAAAAATACTGACCGTTTACAATTCAAGTTTGAATAGAGCACTCTACACGTATATCCCCCCATTATCCAAAATCACATTTCCTCTCCGTCCAAACCCCTTTGTGGGCCCCATTAGTTTTCAATCATCACCCTTCCTCCCAACATTCCAATGGTGTCAGAAGACTATTTTAATTCTCCCCTCTTCCATGTCCCCAAGAATGTTTACACCCCTTTGGACCTTTACATCTTTTTCTCGGACATATCTTGCCAAAATAATCAATGGCATAACTTGGCCTTACATTACACGTAAACTACAGCTACTTAAAGGCGATCTACAACATTTGCTTTGGCTGTAATTTTCAGAAATGGAATGCATTTGGGAGTTAGCACATGTATTTTATAGCAAATATTGTCACACGGACCTGTTTAAAGTTTTGTGCTCACAGATGCCGGAAAAACCGAGAAAAAATGCTGTTCTTGTTCTATAGCCTGGCTCCCTGACCCTTCTTCAGACGAAAAGGAGGAATTTACAGACGATGGGAATTGAAGGTCAGGGAATCAGACTAACTGGCTTGCACCCATTCACAGACGTGTTACAGATGCCAAACAAAATCTGGACTAACTACATATTTGGTAAAATTTGGGGCAGTATTTAAAAAAAGTCTCTTTCTTTACAAACGATGGTAATCCGACCATCGATGGAAATTGATACAAACATGGGCCAATTTTTTTCAATCGATGTCTCACTCAACAGAGAAGAACTTTTGTTCTGCTCTAAAAAAAAAAGAACAACTTAAAAAGAAAACACACATGTACACAATGTATATTTTTCGGGGTGAAACTTAAAAAAAAAATAAATAACATGGACAATACATGTACAATGTACATCTTTAACACCCTCCTATGCAAACATACATCTTCAGTCAAAACCAAACAAGTGAGTGTTTTCAGCAGTTAAGAATTCCCAGCCTACATAAAGCAGGATTGACTGGCTGGGACTGTTTAAGTAACTGGATACAGCTATGTTTTGACTCCGGGTGAGTGATAACACAGCTTTGACCACAACTTCTTGCTTTGCCTGTTGACTTAGTTTGACTAATCACGGTGCTTGGCTTGACATATGATCTGACTGCTGGTGACTAGCCTTTGTTAATAGTGTAGCAGGGGAAGTGGAAGTGAATTTTGATTGTCTGTGACTGTTTAAATAGCAGGAGGGTTAATTACCTAAGATAGCACACAACAAACACTTATTTAATTATTAGCACTGGTCTCGTATTTGGTATGTACTGAAGGTTTAGTTTAATTATGGCATTGATAATAGTATGAAAAACATAAGGCCTAATGTTCTGTAAAAATAATAACTATTATAGTTACTCGTACTCAAACACATAATCATTCTCATGCACAATATTCTAAACAAACCTTATAAATATAAAGGTTTTTAGTACTTCAAATTTTATGCAATCTGTTATAAAAATTAACATTTTACTTAATTTTTTTTTGAAATGTTTTTGATTAAGCATGAAGGCACATTTTTCAGTGAGCAATTGATGCCCATGTTGCAGTTCATTTACATAACTTGTGTTTGCATTATGTTTGTGAGGACTTGTGAGGACTTGTAAGGATGTGTGATGGACCTGTGAGGACTTGCGAGGACGTATGAGGTCTTTTGAGATATTGTGAGGACTTGTGAGGACTTGTGAGGACCTGTGGGGACTTGTGAAGACTTGTTAGGACTTGTGATGAACTTGTGAAGGCTTGTGAGGACCTGTGTGGATTTGTGAAGACTTGTGAGGACCTGTTAGGACTTACAAGAGCTATAGTGATGGACCTGGGAAGACATGCAAGGAACTTTTGGGACTTGTGAGAAATTGTGAGGATTTGTGAAGACTGGTGAAGACTTGTGAGGACCTGTGGGGAATTGTGAGGACTTGTGATGGACTTGTGAAGACTTGTGAGGGTCTGTGGGGACTTGTTAGGACTTATGAGGCCTCGGTAGGACTTGTAGGGACTTGAGAAGATTTGTGATGGAGTGTGAAGGGGGTGTGGGAACTTGTGAGGACTTACGGGATGGGGGACTTGTGAGGACTTGTGAAAGCTTCTTAGGACATGTGAGCATTCATGAGGACATTTTGATGAATTGTGTGGACTTGTGATGAAATGGCCATATGAAGACTTGTGAGGACTTGTGAGGACATTTGAGGACTTGTGTGGTCTTGCGAAGATTGTGACAGAATTTTGAAAACTTATGAGGCATTTTGAAGTCTTGTGATGGACTTGTAAACATTTGTGAGGACTTGTCAGGACCTATGAGGACTTGGGACGACCTGTAAGGTGAGGACTTTTAAAATCCTCAGCTGTTTGGGATGGTAAACAAGCTTCAGTCCTTGACTGCCTTCTTCCTGGCCCTCCAAGGTATCAAGGTCCGAAAGCTGGGAAGGCAGAATGGCCACTCGTACACATTGGGCACCACATCGTCCACCTCAGCCTCAAAGTAGGAGAACATTGGGAACCAGACCCGAGCACGCCGGTCCCGCTGGGCATGGAGGGCCCGCGTGTTGGCCAGGGTGTGGTAGTACAGGAATAGCCGGGACGTGAAGCAGAAGGCGATGACCACGTCGATGGAGTAGTGCTCGTGGGCGGCCAGGACAAAGAAAGCCCCAAAGAGGTTGAGAACCCAGGAAGCAGTATGGAGGAGGGTCATCCTGCGCGGGGTGTCTGTAGGGTCGGGATTCAAAAAATGAAGCAATGTTGAAACATTACAATCCTTGACAGAATATATTGTTGTAGTTTTGCTTTCCCTGTGCCAATTAAAATTTTAATTTTGACCAAAAAACCTACTTATTGTTTCTTTCTTCCTTCACCCCCCCCCCTCCCCGCCCCCTTATTCATGTACCCAGCATCTGCAACCCTCTTAAAAAAGGCTTTTATTTTCAGTTTCGTTGGAGTAAAGCTGGTCCCACTGCACACAAAACTATTTTTAAGCGATTCAGAATGACTGTTCATTGGAAGTCTCGTCATACATTTTAGACCATTCACAGCGTTATGGAGTAATACTGTATGATAGCACTGCCCAGCTCTCTGCAAAAGCCAACAACCAGTCTAAGCGACAGTCAGTCAATCAGTCACTGATCTCTATATAAAGACTGGATATGCATACAACATTCACACAGTAGACTTTGTATATTGACCAATTCGCCCCCGGTCTCACGAAGATGGCCGCGTATAATACGAACGTTCTACGCGTAAATACGCGCGCGTTGTATCAACAGTTGACGCGCATGTTGGTCACGTACACATATTATGATGTTCTAAAAGGGACACATTTCCGTAGTGATTATTATTTCAAAACGCCAAAAAAGTTATATTTGCGGCATTTTAGTAACCACGACGTTAGAAAAATTGTAGTTAACCTTGGTCAGTGGTGGTGGTGGTCAAAATATAAGTCAAGTGAACCGCGACATTACAAAAGAAATCATGCTGTCTATAAAAACGGCAACTTGTTCTTTGTAGATCACCAGCCGATCTCACCAATATGGCGTCAAATTCTTACATTGTGCAGCTCCGTATTAGCTATCCAGTCTTTATATAGAGATCAGTGCAATCAGTCAGTCAGTTAGTCAATTAATTCAGGATGGCTATCCATTGGAACTCTTGTCATGCGTCTGGTCCACACAATGTGCCAGATGTAGCACATTCATGGCGTTACAGGGTAATCCTATATGACAGCACTGCCCGGCTAACACGTGACAGTCCGTCAGTCTGTCAGTTAGTGAGATAGCTACAAACAGGACACAAAAGGGGCCCTCTTGAAGTAGCAAAGGTCCACTTGTTAATGACTTACATTCGGTTATGAAGAAGTTAAACATGGTCAAGCATATCGTGTGGCCACTAAACATGTAGTCCCCGCACGTATGAACTCCAGTTACGCTCATTCCTAGTCCGCACATGATCTCCAGCGCACGGTGCATCTTCATCCAATAACTTCCGTACACCTACAGCAAAAGGTAAATACAACAAAATGTTGACTGATTGAAGGAAAGAGAATTTTCACTGGGGTCACTAGTACCCCCTCAACGGTAAGAAAGGGAGATTTGCTGAGAGTTGCTCAAGCAAAGACACTATGGCTATGTGCGTATATACAGGTATTCAGAATAAAATGCGTAAAATGTGCCCTTACGCGCGCGAACCTATACGCGCGCGCGAACCAGAACGCGCACATGATGTGGCCTGTACACGAGGCTCTTAAAAGTGGTCAAGTAGCGCCCTCTCTTGTTCCCACATGTAGCCTTTATTTCTTGGACCGAGCCGCATATTGGTCTAGATTCAAGCCTGAAATGAATATTTTTTTCAGATAACAGAAAATAAAACTAATGTAGGCTCAATCGTTAAGAAACAGTTCGCACCTTGCCGCTGCACTGCAGGTGAGATCCGGGGACGGACAGCGACGTGACAAACATGGTGATACACCGCAGGAGAAAGCACGACCCCATCAGGGCAAAGAATCTCCTCAAAAGTATAAACCTGCAAACGGGACGAAACAGTGACAATGACGTTTGGGGGTGTGGCACAAAACACCGATCACTCAAAACTTTGAATACTTGTTCTGTAAATTTTTATTGCAACGAAAGTGGATTGATGCCATTTTAAACAGAAAAGACAGAGGAATGATATGGTATACAAAAAAAATGAATGGTTATGAGTGCAATGGTAGGAATTATTTCATTAACGTGCCATGAATAAAGTGCAATGGTAAGAATAATTTCATGAATGTTCAATGAATGTTTATGAGTGCAATGGTAGAATAATTTCATGTATGATCAATGAATGTTTATGAGTGCAGTGGTAAGAAAATGTTATGAATATACAATTTTATGAACGTTCAATGAATGTTTTTGAGTGCAATGGTAAGAATAATTTCATGAATGTTCAATGAATGTTTATGAGTACAATCATTGGTATGAATAATTTCAGACAGATACATGTAGGATATTCCATTCAATGAGGTGAAGCCGATCTGTCACCGAATGAAATTATTCTTTCCATTGCATTTTTATGTGAAACATTCAACATTTGTTTTATACAATGTACAATACTCGAATAAATCCTCGTCATCTGATTGGAAATAGTGTGACTGTGCAATGAAACTTCTATTTACCGTGGAATGGAACTTTTACTTTTGCGGTGTGGCCGACCGTGGGTTTGGACGAATAATCAGTGACATGTGATCAACAACCCACCAATCAGAAGATGAGGATTTTTTGAATAAAAATTCAATATACATGTACCCCCTATTTTTCAAAGTGTCCCTGATGCTGCTGAAAGTGAAAAACACAAAGTCCAAGCATTTCTGATTTGTACGTTAAGAAAAGACATACATTACATGAACAAAATTTTGATTTACACATTTACATAATGTACCTGTGTTTGTGCAGAACAATGACAATAAACAGAATGGCCGCCAACACCATGGCACAGGCTTCGCACGCCTGAAACGCCCACTCGATTCTCGGGACACTGTCCAAGAAAATGTCCGGGAGTGGGGGAAACTTGTCCATGTCTGGCACGCGGTCGTGGGCGATGGTCATCACGAAAGCGGTCAGCAGCCCCACCGCGGTCGCGTACAGGAAACTGACGGTGGTCTTGAAGATTTCGGGCTTGAACTTCGGCTCAGAAACCTCTTGTCTGGGAGGGGGTTGGTGCCTGTCCAAGTTTCCAAACATGAAATCGTCCTCATCGTCGCTGAAGCTGAAGGCGTTTAGCCGCTGACTGATGTGGCCTAGTTCCTGCCCACCAACTTTGCTCTCAAAACCCGCCTCGTTGTCCAATCCCGTGCGGTCGTCGTAAGACCCTGCCGTCCCGTTTCCGCACGCTCCGCCTTCCAATACCAACTCTCGCTTTTTGAGATGATCAATTAGTGTGGCCAGCCGCTTTATATGGGCCAGGACTGGGACGGAAATCGGTGGCAGTCGGAGGTCGACTTCTTTAAGGAGGAGAAGAACCTCGCCGTCGATTTCGTTTTGCTGGCAGAGCAGCTCGGAGTACTGGCCCATGCCATTCTGGAACAGGAACTGGGCCACGTCGTCACACGTCCAGTGGTGAACACTCTTGTCGTTGGGCAAATTGACTCTGGTGACTCTGGAGTAATCAATCAAATTAACAGTGATATTAAATATGAATACATGTACTTTAAGAAGCGTCACTCATGTGGATCAGACAGACTGGGAACTTGAGTGTAGGAAACGTGCAAAAACCATATCAGGCCAACTTTACTCACTCTAGTCTTTAGCCAACAAAATTCTCAAAAATGTTTGTGAGGCAAAGACAAGTCCTCAGTATTTCACCAGCCAAGTTTGAAGTTTCAATTCAATTTTTAAAGGAGACTGCTCTTCAACATTTTCACACCTGAGAGTGAAGCCAAGTGATTTCAACTTGAAATATTTACTATTTGACTCAATAGAGCCTGAAAGTTGACCCCTGGTGGTGCGTTTCCTGACACCTCAAATAGGAAAATTAGCATTTAAAAGCCAGAGTTTTAAAATTATTTTGGGGTACATTGATTACTTAAGAAAATCACCCATAGAAAAGGCCTTTGTAAAATTGTTACCAGCAAATACTGAAATATCCCATGACATGAAAGAGAAATATCATGCCAAAAATTGACCTCTCACTTCCAAAAATCAAAAAAATACATGTGGACTAGTGGAACTCGGAGCACACAAAGATGAAAATTTATAAAATTATTTTGTGGCAGTCATTGGGTAAATACCAAAACTTAAATAAGAGACTATTAAAAATGTCTTTTGGGACACACAATTTATTTTTGATCATGTTGATATAAAACTTGACATGCTTGAAGGACTAATTCTCATTTGTAAACAAATCTAAAATGACCCTTGATAAGAACTGCATTCAAGTGAGCCTGACTAAATCTAGAATGCATTGAATGTAGACCCTGTACATGTACAATGTAGGTACATTTTTGCGTCATTTTCATTCTCACGCAAGTTCGCAATGTGAAGACAGGTTGGGGAGTCAGGTTGGTGTAGCGGTACTTTCCTCGCCTTCCACCGCTGTGACCCGGGTTCGAATCCTGCCTGGGCCAATATGTGGATTGGGTTTTCAGTCCCTACCCGATTCTGTGGGTTTTCCTCAGAATACTCTTCTGGGCGTTTCCTCCAGCCTCTAAAACTGTAATTTCTTCGCATTGTCTTCTCTTTACTGGGATCCATGGGAGATCAGTGGATTCCACTGAATGGGCTACATGTACCCAGTTAAAATAAGAAATAAAATAAATACATAAAAAAAATTAATGTAATCGAACAAAGGACCTAGGTACGAAAATCCAGATGTGAAAGGTCGTAAGTAAAATTTGTTTCTACCCATCTCCAACTGATTTCTCATATTTTTGTTGTGGAATGCCAAGATAAAATTCCAACATCACCCTGAACACGAATTTTTCTTGGGGTGATTACGGTTAGAAAATTCTGTCAACAAGTATAGCAAAGGAAAGGGCAACCCCATGTAAAATGCCGAGGGTCGTGGAGGGGTCCGGAAGCTCAAACACAAAATGGAATACTTTCAGGCTGTATTCGGAAAGAATTCCATACTGGGTCACCACTCATATTCCCTAATAAGACTAGCTGGAGTTACCCAGCCCTAAATTTTATCATTGGGTTGTCATCTAGGGCTGGAGTAACCCAGCAGCGTAGGCAGGTCCCAAAAAAAATTGCGCGGAAGCGTAACACCCGATGACTGTTTTATGCACTGTTTTATCGGTTGCCGTTCCAGTACCGCAGCTGTGATGGTAAACCTCATAGTGCATGAAACAGTCATTGGGTGTTACGCTTCCGCATGACGTCATGCGCGCAGCCGGCAAAAACAACTAGTGCCAGCGCGCTGTGCATGGTAATCAACCGCCATTCATTGTACACAATTTTTTTTTGTGCACAAACCAATTGCAGTCCTGGCCATGCCTGCAAGGTTGTCAGGTTAGCGGTTATTCCTCCTTTTTTCACTGCAATTGTAGGCTGAATCTTCATCGTGGATCGTATTTTACTTCAAGGACCTGTGTAATGGTTATTCCAGGCAAGTTTGGGGTGAACTTGCAGTTGCAATTAGTGTGTAAGTACTAGGCCTACTAGCCCCATAAATGTGGCCTATTTACTGGACTGCCTCCGTAAACATAGGCCACACGTCCACATGTACAAAAATCATGTCGACTTTGCCAAATTTTGATTTTCACATTAAGGCTTACTTTGTAGGATTTTTTTGCTTTAGAAGCATACTCACCCACTTTATAGGCTAGTCAGAAAGTGCTGCCTTTTTCAGATGTCTAATTTTTGTGAAATTTCATGTTGAAATTTTGATACGCAAACGTGTAAAAATGAATCTGGAAATTTCACGAAAAATATACATCTGAAAAAGGCAGCACTTTCTGACTAGCCTATAAAGTGGGTGAGTATGCTTCTAAAGCAAAAAAATCCAACAAACTAAGCCTTAATGTGAAAATCAAAATTTGGCAAAGTCGACACGATTTTTGTACATGTGGACGTGTGGCCTATGTTTACGGAGGCAGTCCAGTAAATAGGCCACATTTATGGGGCTATAGGCCTACCATTTACCAATAGTTGTAAATCTGATGAAGAAACACTTTTTTAGCAGTGCAAAAATTCTTTGATAATACTCAACTTTTTCGGTACAACTATAGAATGCAGGGCCACTTTACTCTACATCCGCGCCTCCGTACGGCTGCGTGGAGGCGTGGAGCCGCAGTCGACCTACCTCCGAAAATCGATCATGGAGTCGTGGAGCCGGCCGCAGTCGATATCTCCGAGAATTGCGCCCTCTATCGGTGAGCGTCTCTGCGACTCCGCGACTCCGCGTCTCCGCCACTCCAGTGCCCCGCGTCTCCGCCGCGACTCTAAGACTCCACGACTCCGCGCCTCCGCCACTCCGGACAGTGCCCCGTCGCCCTCCTCCCTTCCTAATTTGCGAGCCCATTTAAAATGGATACGTATGCTTCGTTCTCAATAAAATTCCACCGAGAATTGCGCCCTCTATCGGCGCGAGTCTCTGCGACTCCGCGACTCAGCGCCTCCGCCACTCCAGTGCCCCGCGTCTCCGCCGCGACTCTAAGACTCCACGACTCCGCGCCTCCGCCACTCCAGACAGTGCCCCGTGGCCCCAACACATTTACAAGCACGCCCTCCCTTCCGATCCTTCATGAGAAGCTCAGAAGACAAGTGCATTCGCTGTACTTAGCACTTTTTGCAGGTTTGCATATCTATTACTCCTATCCATCCACGCCTCCACGCAAAATAAAAAACCTTGCTCCGGCGTGGCCCTGCATTCTATAGTTGCTCCACTTTTTCTGTAATGGCCCATAGACTTAGCTTTGTGTAGGAGGTCAGAGTGGTGGCCCAGTATGGAATTCTTTCCCTCTATTCTCTGGACCATGGAACTTGCTAGCCCCCCCCCCCCCGCGAAGCCCGGCGATTTACGAATTACTGCAGTGTGTTGAGCTGAATACTAAAAGTTTCTAACTACTGCAATGTTACTAAGTAAAACTAGTTCTACATAACTAAACATGCTAAAAACTACTTCTACTAATAATAATATTAATAAGCCGCATAATAAGAAGTATATCAAAATAACTTCGATCGTGTTTTTACCTCTTTTTGAAGTGCTTCATCTTGTGAATGTTCGATGACCCTGGTGTTTCCTAATAAATAACGTTATTGCCACATGACGGAAATGTTAGCATGGCGACCAATTCCATCGTGGTATGGTCTTTCACTGACGAAGTCTGGGAACATGACACTCGCACCTTCCCAACTATGGAGGGCGCACTTGCTGTTTACCAGACGACACTTCCTCATTCAGAAAAAGCAAAAGTCCAGTTTAGTTTATTTCGGTAAAAATTTACAATGGTTTGTCCACAGATTTTAGTCTCCGTTTTAACCCGTTTCGGACTTTACTTCGTCCTGATCTGTACCAGCTGGTCAGGTGCAGCCGCCGATCAGAAAAATGGCAAGGCTTTCGAGGAGAATTTGAAGGATTTTGCGAGCATGGCTGAGAGTTTGTCTGGCGGGTTGAAGACCGTTGCCAAAGCGGCCAAACTCCTGAGTGGGGACATCGATTTCGGCGAAGAGGAGGACTGCGAATTCGTCTGCAAAAATGGTCCGTAATTGCCAACCAGGAGAAAAGAGAATTATTATTATGAAGGAAATATCTGGTCATATGGCATTCGTTAATTTTGGAGGACAATGATTTCAATTTTCATTTTGTTTTTGTTTTGATTAACTTATTCATCAGTTCATCTTTTGACTATTGACTCTCCATAGACTTTGTACACCACCGCTGATGAAGTGGCGTCAGGTTGCAGCATTTTTTCCAATTATTCATCAGTTCATTTTTTAATTTGAATCTTGTTTAAGATGCACTCCATGTGCAATTTTCGAGTTCAAAGTGGCTATCGTTACAGTAGACCTATTTTATAACCACGTTCATGGGTCTATCGTTACGGCAGTCCATGGGCAGTCGTAGCGCGATTTTTCAAAACAGCCCTCCAGAGACATGAATTAGGGGGAAAAAAGTGATCGACTTATGACAGCTCAATCGAATTACATGTATGGTCGCACGATCGACGGATCGTGCAGCACGATAACCGTCACACAGATCCACCAATTGCACCCAACATTTACAATACAAAAAAAGTGAATTTGTTGAGGAGCTTGAGAAACCCAACTTTAACCGTGACTCTGATGTTGTTGGTGTTTTATTTGGTTTTTTTGTTTCAGGTGCCACACCAAGGAAAAAGATTGGCTACGTTCCAGAAGACAATGGTTGTGGAGCTTATGGACTCAAGGTACTAGTCTTCTAAAGCCTATGCATTGTAGGGGATAAATGTTATGCCCCAACTTTAGCATTGTTCCAACTGGTGACTGCTCTATGTTCCGACACCCCTATGTTTCGACTACTCAACCCATTTTCCGGCACCCCTATGTTCCGACAACCTGCACATAAGATTGTGTTACTCCCAGTGAGGGTTAGGGTTAGGGATAAGAATATGTGCAGTCGGAACATAGGGGTGTCGGAACATACGTTGAGTAGTCGGAAAAAAGAGGTCGAGTTGTCAGAACATAGGGATGTCGCAACATAGAGGTGTAACCGTTCAAACTACTGTAGTTGAGATCATCTCAACTATAGCTGGAACTGTGAAAATTATAGTTAAACTAAAAATATAACACAGACAGTACAGTCATGTCATATTTCTATGGCAGTGGATATTTTGCCGGAGACGGCAAACCTTTAGTTAACGTTAGTTTGCCGGATTTGCACTGAACATGCGCAGTTACTGTTTTTTCGTACTTGGACATTTTCCGGTGACAAATTTTAGTCTGGCTCCATGCCAACATTATCGTTGTAACTTCCTATTCACAAGATGGGAATCAGACCATTTTACAATTTCGGACTTTATTTCCCTTTAAAAAAACCCTCCAGAGCCACAAATCTGAAAAAGAAAATGTAATACTCTGCAATAAAATGTTTGAGACATGTTAAAATAATAAAAGAATATTCTTATTTTTGGGGGATGGGGGAAAAAACCTTAGAAATGTCGCCAGCGGGGATCGGGATCGAACCCGGGTCTTCCCGCTCATGAGATCCATTGCGTATCCACTAGACCACAGTTGCTACACAATCGGTGGTGGTAATTTAATATATTTCCTAATTCAGCCCTATCTTACAGAGAACAGCGCCCTCTGTTGATAGGGATTGCCGCCGGCAAACCTTCAGTAAACGTTAACTTGCCGGGGTTACCGCCGGCAAAATATCCACTATTTATTTCTATAGGCGCAGTGGCTAGTCATATTCCATTGACAAAAGCAAGTGACTGGTAGTCACAGCTGGCTTTATCAATCTTCTACAGTCAAAGCATAGCTACATATACATCAAGTTTCATATCAATCACAGCCAGTCAATCCTGCTTCATGTACTGTAGGCAGGGAGCATTCAACTGTTCAAAATAGTCACTTGATGTATTTTGACTGCTGGGCTGGCTTCGTTGAAATTGCCAGCCAGAGAGGAGGGGAAGAGTAATGTAGGTCTATGGTCTCCTAACTATTGTTTTCCTCACCCCCCCCCCCCCCCCCCCCCCCCCCCCCCGGCCAACACCCCCAGGTGGATTTGTCAAAGCTACCTCAGATGGAACAGTGTTGCACCAGTCACGATCGCTGCTACGGCCAGTGTGGTATGGAGAAGGAAACCTGCGACTTGCGGTTCTCGCAGTGTCTTGAGAAAGTCTGCAACCGACTGCTGAAGACGATGGGCCTTACCGACGAGGAATCTGAAGGTATGGAACCCCAAAGCTGCCTTCAGTCGTAGTTCTTCATTCCCTCTGTTCGCACTTGTCATTACATTTGCTAATTCATTATTCAATTTGGCTATTCATCATTACATTCGGAAGATTCACCATTTTTATTTGGCAAATTCATCATTTCATTTGGCAAATTCATCACTCCGGCCATTTGGCAAATTATCATTTCATTCGGAAGATTCATCACTTCATTTGGCAAATTCATCATTCTCATTTGGCAAATTCATCATTTTCATTTGGCAAACTCATCATTTCATTTTCACTCCATTTGGCAAATTATCAGTTCAATCGGAAGATTAATCACTTCATTTATTCATAATTTCATTTGGCAAATTCATCATTTCATTTGGCAAATTCATCTCTCCATTTGGCAAATTCATCATTTTCATTTGGCAAACTCATCATTTCATTTGGCAAATTCATCACTCCATTTGGCAAATTATCAGTTCAATCGGAAGATTAATCACTTTATTTAGCAAATTCATAATTTCATTTGGCAAATTCATCATTTCATTTGGCAAATTCATCTCTCCATTTGGCAAATTCATCATTTTCATTTGGCAAACTCATCATTTCATTTGGCAAATTCATCTCTCCATTTGGCAAATTCATCATTTTCATTTAGCAAAATCATAATTTTATTTGGCAAATTCATCATTTCATTTGGCAAATGTATCACTGCATTTGGCAAATGTACCATTCCGTTCACCACAGTCATTATTCAATTTAGCTAATTCATCATTTCCTTTGGCCAATTCATCAATTCATTTTCCATATTCATCACTTCATTTGTCAAATTTATCATTTAATTTTTCCAAATTCATAATTTCGTTTGGTAAATTAATCATTTCGTTTGTCAAATTCATCATTTTATTTGGCAAATCCATCGATTCATGTACCATATTCGTCACTTCATTGGGCAAATTAATCCTTCAATTTGGCAAATTCAATTTGGAAAATTCATCATTCCAATTGGCAAATTGATAGTCAGTTCTGCATTTTCATCATTTCATTTTGTACTTTTTGCCATTAGGTTGTATGATGACAGTACAGCTGATGTACATGACGGTGTTGGAGCTGGGTTGCCAGGCCTACCTTGACGCCCAACGGCAGGCCTGCATTTGCAAGTTAACAGCAGACGATAACAGAACTGGTCACAGTGGTGCCAAACGCAAGACCAAAGTGGAGCTCTAAAAACTGGACAATAATCTTTGAATTTGCCGTGCCTATGCTCTCCGACAAGTTTTTCTTGTAACAAACTTTCACTTTGTATCATATTTTATTATTTTATTTTGTGCAAACAAATTTAAAGGGAATACACAACAATTGCTCTGGCTGTAGATTTCAGAAATGAATGGATTGGGAGGGGGTTGTTTAGTATTTTATAGCAAATACTGAGTTGTTTGAGTTTTGTGTTCATAGATGATGGAAAAACCAAGAAAAAACAATGCAAACAAACTTCAGACTAACTGAATATAGTAAATTAGGTGCAGTATTTTTTTTAAAAAATAGTTTTTTCCAACGCTGATCGGCCGACCAGCGTTGGAAATTGATACAAAAATACCACTTTTCTTGAAAATGTCAGCACACCAGGTGCCATGATTTTACAGGTCGCTTTAGACTGTCATTCACTAACAGTCCAGTAGGTACATGTATTTCATATTAATTGGGTAGTTTTTGTTTTTTTAATGCTTGCAAATGTTGTATATTCCTTTTTCGTTCTGGGATGCTTTTAAGCACAAATACATATTTTATGAGGTAGTCAGGTGGCTTAAGGTTGGAAATATGAGATTATAGTTGTTTATAATAATGTCACATTAAAAGTTTCCTTATACTTGTTCAAGTCCCCCACGTTAGGCTACCCTTCACCTAATTTGTAGCCCAATTTACTGACACCTCATTTTCGCCCCCTTTATTTTTTTCTGGGTCATCATGATGTTATCATTGTTCACATGATTTTCCATATAGTTTTATTAGGGTAACTGTGGCAGTAAGTAACTTTGTGAAATCAAAGCTCATCAATACTGAGGTTCCGCAAGCTTAAATCATGGGGTCCGCTCATAAGTCCGACGCCTCATAGCTCCGACGCCTCATGGGTCGGACGCCTCATAGCTCCGACGCCTCGTAGGTCCGACAAATTAAAAGCCTCATTTTTCTGACGTCTGACTTATGAGGCGTCGGAGTTATGAGGCATCGGACCTATGAGGCAGAATAAATAAATTGTATGCCTCATAAGTCCAATGCCTCATAAGTCTGACATTTCGGACTTATGAGGCGTCGGACCTATGAGGCGTCGGACTTATACGGCCCCGAAATCATGTGGTACACTAGCCTATGCACATTTTCACCATCTTTAGTAGAGAACCATACGTAGCATAAAACATCTAGTACAGACGAGAATTTCAAATACTCGAGGAAGTTATAGTACCGTACTATGCAGAGTTTTGTTGATGCACAGTAATAAATAATCAAATAATGGTTCGGTTGCGAAATGTAGTAATCACTTACCATATTCATCGATACTTTTACCTTTAATATGCATGTATTCTTTTTACTTCAAATGCAGTTTGTGCTGTACCAAGTGGTAACATCTTGACAGTACTATGCACCTATCATATCATTATACAGATACATGTACTTTTACATGTATACTTCTTGTAAAGGTATATGCTGAATGTATTTATATTTCTGTATATGATACAAATCGAAAGCTTTATGGTTTTGTATTTTCTAGAAAATAAAACTGACGAAATAACAGATTATTGTCAAGAGTTTAAAGAAGTTGTTTCATTTGAAATTTGAGATGGCATGTTATGAAAAGTTTTCTGCGAGAATTTTTTTATGATTTTGGAAGAAAAGTTTAGGCAAGGTGTTTTTGTTTGTATGAAATAAAGACGAACATTTGCATAGCACATGACCATACACCATAGTTAGTTTGACAGCAAAGAATTGAAATCAACCTCCGAGTTTAACTTGTTTTCAAAATATTGTCAGTTTTCACACGGTGGGAGTATTGGTTCACTTCGTTGCAAAACAAATGTTTCTCCAATATATGCAAATTTTAGTCTTGTTCTGTTGAGGTTTGTGTTGGAATTGATTACTTTGGAGTATTTTTTGTCCTCTTTTTAATCTACAAGGGAATAATCTCATCATGAAAAAGTAATTAAACGTCTGTCATTATGTGATGTGCCATGCCAAGGAAGGACGTCGATATTCCCCCTCACAAAATTACCTAACCCATGCCCCGTCCCCTCTCTTCCCCACCCCCAACCCCCCCCCCCAAATAAATTGCTCATGCCCATGCCGGCCCTGCTAAAAATATAAAATATTGTCCCCTCCTGTATCTTACCTCACCCCCCACAAAAACAATCTCCTCCCCACAAAATAGCCCCCCAAAATGATCTACCCCGCCGCTTTGAATTACTCCGAAACAATGCAATAATTTTAACCAAAAAACAAAATTACTAACCAGCTTTTTTGCCCCCCCCCCCGATTTCGTACCCCATCCCCGTACAAAACCACTATCTGCCCACCTGCAATATAACCCAAAATATTATCTGCCTCCCCCTTGAATTTCCCCGAAAAATTCAATAATCTTCAAAAAAAAAATTAAAACCAACTGTTTTCCTGCCCCCCTTCAAATATCTTATCTGCCCGCTCCTCCCCCTTGAAAAATAACCCAAGCACATACTCTTCCTCCGCTCCCTTGAATTCCCCCAAAACAAATTAAATAAACTTCAAAAAAATTACCGACTTTTTCTACCCCCCTATAAATGAAGTTCCCCCATCAACCGCACAAATATTAATTATGTACACCCCCCCCCGAAAAATAACCCCCAAAATGTCTGCCCCGCCCCTTTTTTCCCCAAACTTTTTCCGCCCTCCATTTTGGCCAAACGATCAAATTGGATCAAACTTGCTGGAAAGATGCCTAAAGGTCCCTAGAAGACATTCCAATCATCGATTTCTGGACAGATGTGCTTTTCAAAATGAAATGTCGACGAAAACTTGGTTTGAAATCAGTCAAAAATGAGGATTTTTCCGTCTAAAAATCGATGATTTTTGCCAAAATCTGCCAAATATTGGGTGTTTGAAGGTTGATTAATGCCCCTCTTACCTCTAAAGGAATTTCTGCATAGTTTGGAGAAAAGTCTCTCTTTTTTCTAACCCCCTCCCCCAAATGTCTTCCCGCCCATTTTATCCCCAAACTTTTTTTCCGCCCTTCATTTTGGCCAAAAAATCAAATCTGCTTCAAACTTGCTGTAAAGATTCATAAAGGACCAGAGAACATATTCCAATTTGATTTGACAGATATGCTTTTCAAAATGAAATTTTGAAGAAAACTCGGTGTGAAATCAGTCAAAAATGAAGATTTGTTTCGTCTAAAAATCGATGATTTGTTCCCCAAATCTGCAAAATATTGTGTTTTGAAGGTTGATTGATGCTCCTCGTACCTCCAAAGGAATCTCTGCATGGTTTGGAGAAAAGTCATTTTCTGGAAAGGTGCCCTAAAGGTCCCTAGAACACATTACAATTCGATTTCTGGACAGATGCGCTTTTCAAAATGAAATTTCGACGACATTTTGTGTGAAATCTGTCAAAAATGAGGATTTTGAAAGAGTAAAGCTAACCACTTGCATTTTTTTTCAATTTTGGCCGGAAAAAATGTGCTTCTCAAAATGAAATTTCGCCGAAAATTTGGTTTAAAATCAGTCAAAATGAGGATTTTGAAAGAGTAAAGCTAACCACTTGCATATTTATATTTTAATTTTGGCCGAAAAAAAATGTGCTTCTCAAAATGAAATTTCGCCAAAAATTTGGTTTGAAATCAGTCAAAAATGAGGATTTGGTCGCCCAAATCAGCAAAATATTGGGTGTTTGAAGGTTGATTGATGCTCCTCTTGCCTCCAAAGAAATTTCTGCATAGTTTGGAGAAAAGTCTTTTTTGGGGGCCAAATTGCATCAAAAAAAGTAAGGCTAACCCCTTGCATTTTTTTCTTCTTCAATTTTTGGGTTTTCAAGAGTTGTTCTGCAGACAGCCTTTAGACGTACTGTTTTTTAACCACAGTATCCCATACCCTGATTGATGAAGCACTTTTCTGTGGTGCGATTTGTACACTGCTATTAATTCAAACTTCTCTTATCTCAAAGGAAATGCTTTCAGATATTATGGCAGCAGGACAACGCCAAATATCACGTGGTGTTCAAGCTCCTTTGGCCTGTTCATTTGTTCCGTAAAAAAACCAAATCGTTTTTCTAGTTGACCTGTTGTGACCTTGTGTGCTATCAGTGTTAGTACACATATCTCGCATTGTGCAGGCTTTCCTGTGATAAGCACAACAGGAAAAGCAAATTAGGCCATTCAATAAATTTGGGTCCACTTTTTTTCCTGTCCCTGTTACATCTGACTTCTACGATTCTATAATTCTGATGCACTCCTTAATGCAGTCGTCCTCCAAGAGTGATTATGAATAGCCAACTACCTACCCAACAAATTACAAATTCTTTGAAGTCATTCATAATGATACTTGAATGGCAAATTACAAAGTACCAAGGTAACAGGGACAGGAAAAATGTCACACTTTCGACCTTAAATGTGCAGAATGACCCATGAACATCGAGGTTAAACAAATTCTATGTTTATGATTCATTTTCAGCAATATGATATCAAAGTTCGTTTTAAATCACCTTTTCTATTAATCATGGTTTGTTTTTTGTTTTGTTTTTTAGTAATTTGATGTTAATTTTTAAAAGAAAAATTACAGATAAAGATGGGACTTTTATTCGAATTTTTTGGGTGAAAATTTTGTGTGAAAAAAGCACAAGTTAACAAGTTGTTTAGACAGTTGACGATAATTGTTAAGTTTCAGGCTTATATGACTCTCCGTGATCCAACGGTAGTTAGCAAGCACTCGGAGAGCACACACCGCCACCAAGGCTAAATAATGTCCTGCCATTACACACAGCACCAACACAAAATATGGTTTCTAAAACAAGTCCTTCAAATCAAAAATTGTGTAGTTATATCTTTCAACTTCCCCCATTGTATATAAATGGTCCAGTCCATTGACCTCTGTCGCCCTCGCTTGGTCATGCACAACCCACATGCAAAGCTTATACATCAGTCTTCAGTAGTGGCCAAAAAAGTTGGAATGCTACAGTTCCTAAATGTATTCTCTATTAAAGAGAAATCATCGTTGATTAAAAACAAAAACTTGGGCCGTTTCCTAAAAGCTACCTGCGCCCCTGGTCTTTTCCGACTTTGAAAAACAAAATCAAAACCAAATGCAAAACAAACATCAACTTCAATCACTAAAAGTTTAATCCTTCCCAATTATCCTCTATTTATAGTGAACACTCTTCATATTTTATGATTATAACTTTAATTTGCCACATCACGAACTACAATAAGCAACTGCATTGTACACTGTACAAGTTCCCGATACAATACACTCAGCTACATGTATATGCCTGATACATATTTATGTCATTGGCAAAAGAGCTAGTTTAAAATAAAAATGACATCTTTACTGTATTACGCACGACTAATTTCTCAAAATACTGAACCAGTTGTATATTAAAGGCAATAAACACCATTTGCAAACATCCAAAAAAATGCAACCGTCCACAAATATCAGGAAATATCCCACTTCATTGTAAGTCAATAATAGGGTACAAGCATCCTGTGAAAACACTGTGCCGTATGATGTCATTTTTTACAAAAAGAGGGATAACCAAAATGTCCTCCATTGGTTAGGACCAAACCATCACGCTTTCAATAGAGACAAATAAAATTTAAGACATATTTTTTATATCTACAGAGCTGAAATTTGGACAGGTTAGTTTTGTGAAAGCCAAGATAACCTGCTTCATATTTATTGTATTGTTGTTCCTTGAATCAGCAAAAAACTTTTTTTTTTCAAAATTCATTACCTGTTGAATAAGACAAAAATTGACGGGGGCAGGATTTTCACATCAGGAAACAACGGAGGCATTTAACCACTTGAGCGAAGGAGATATCGACATGAACATGTATGTTGCCGAATATCACTTTGTTTTGACAATACCAGGACTGGTGCTCAAGGCGCTACATCATTATTACCCCTGCTCATTGGGCCCATAAGACATTCCTAACACCATCTCAGCTCCCTGGGGCGTATGCAACTCGATGCAGCCTGTTAGGCGCAAGGAAGCTAATTCAATCACAACTACCATCTCTGCCCTCACAGGTGCCTTGCCCAAGGGCACATGCACCATAAAGCCAGGATGGACTCGAATCCACAACCTGCAGATTTATGCGCAAACCATGAATCTACCCTTAACCACAAGGTCACAGTACTATGCATTTTATTGAGAAACACAAAAAAGATCACCGCCTTTTTTACAAGCAAACTAAAACCAATATTACAAATGTGTTAAAATCGATCTATATTTGACAAAGAAAAAAACAAATGTATGATTCCAATAACATCAAATTTCAGTACGGATTATAATCTGTTGACGTCACAATCAAACACCACACAATGAGAAATCAAGCAGTTTGTCTAAACATTGTTCTATATAAACACCTTCAGTTTTACAAGTACTCTGACGAGACTTTTAGTGTGCAGACTAAGGAAACTGTACAGCATTTACACCTCCCATGAAAATGTAACAAATGTTTAAAAATGATAATAATAACAAATGACAAAATGACAAACAAAAAACAAAACAGCAAACACATTGCCCAAACAAGGGAAAAAAGAGAGATAATTACGTTATTCTTAGGATGTCAAAGTAGTTTTACAAGGCAATTATGCAGAAGATATAAATATACGAGTATTGTTGACTAACAAAATCATAATAAAATTTAGCTTGATGTCTAAGAAAACTGACGAATTAATACTTATCGTTTCCCCCCAAAAATGCAAGTCATTTCTAAGGTTTTATTTAAAAACATATGTGCAAGAGACAAATCTATGTTTTCTCTTTTCTAAGCGTATCTCTGACTTTGCAATCTGATTGGTTGATTTCTATTTACAAGCAAATTCCCAACAACACTGCCCTCCCTAAAATTCACAATTTCAATTTTTTGCATTCTCCCAAAGGCTGCAAAAATCCAAAAATGCTGAATTTGGTGCAATTGTTTCTCTGTAACAATCCACACGAAAATCAAAGTATATATACAGGGCAACAGCTTGCTCTACATTAACTAACCTAAGTTTATTCTAAGCTCTAGAAAAAAAAACTGAAATAATTTACATTTATAACTTTAAGCAGTAGTTTGGAAAGATGTATCCATCGAAACATATAATATACATGTGTATTAACGACACTCTGTGGCAACAGCAAGTAAATTCCCTATCTGTTACCAATTTTCATTCTCTGTTGATGTCTAAAAATCTGTTGTAATTGCTTCAAACAAAATTAAGGGTTTTGTACAATTCTTGAAATTATACCAATGCATGTAAATATGAAACTACTTTTGTAAACTCTCCCAGAAGTCTCCTGCTAATTCTCCGCTTGTAACCGTTTGAGGGGTTCTTATGCATGGGGTTCATTGAGGCTAAGCACCTCGGATCAGGGAACCCATGTCAGCAGGGGCTAAAATCTCCTCACTCCAAGGCCGGCGACAGAGCAAATGTTTCAAAATCACACCAAAAATCTAATATTTATGTTTCTACATTCACCTTTTTACTACATGTGATCTACAGAGTAAAAGTGTAAACGCTTATGACCTTTGACCTGAGAACAGCATTCATTATACACAACACGCACAAATATATGAGGCATCAGTGTTTATTACTGACATCGCCTTTAAAGTACAATCACGGGTTTTTTTTTATGTCTGGTTAGTGAAATAATACAATTTATGATCCCCCAAAGCACAAAAAGCCAGTCTATTGGACACATTTTTGAAAACTGGGATTTTAGGCTTATTGGAACGGACACTGAATAAGCTTTCTAATGATGTATAGAATATGGGAATCATAGAAAAATCTTACAGAGTTATATAGGTATTTTTAGTTCTCGATTTCAGGCCTCAAAAATTTTTTAACAAAATTTAGAAATTTGCCGCTAAAGTTTCCCAAACTTAGGAAATGTACAAATTACCTTCAGTGACAGTGAAATATATTCATTATTTAAGCTGCTAACGCCTAAATCTGATTTTCAATAATTTTTACATTTAACAGGCTGTATCTCAACATATGGCTGTGCGACCTTGACGAAACAACACACGCAAAGCACAGTGCAATTAGACTTTTACGAAGATATTAACCATCATGACCATTGACCTTCTTTTACACCCCACCTTCCACAGTGTTGACGTTCCTGAAAGCCGACGATTGGCTGGCTTTTAAGTGACTCTTGGCGGGGCCGGACATGGACGCTGAGGACGTGAGATGCATGGAATGAAGGGATGACGCCAGGCCCGAGTCAACTTGCGTGCCGCGGTCCACTTCGTCAATCAGGGTATGCGATACTGTGGTTAGAAAAAAAAAGTGGCGTTTTAATCCTTAACCCTAACTCCCTAGGCCTTTTTGCTAGGATGTAGCCTCAATCCTGCAAAATCCTCCAATTGGCCTCATGGAAAAAATAGCATATAGCCTCAATCCTGCAAATTCCTCCGTTATTTCTTGAATATGGTCCGTGGAGGGATGACCACTGCCTGAATCCTGCAAAATCCTCCGGCTATGTCTGTCAATAGGCTGAGGCAGAGGCAGTGACATCCCGAAGCAGTGCGGAGGATGTCAAGTATAATCAAGGACTAAGTTTATGCACGGCTGAGCATAAACAACACAAGGTCCGGCCCAAGACCTTGACACAGTGCGTACTCCGAAATCAGCAACGCACTTTTGCCATGTAACCTCAATCCTGCAAATTCCTCCAATTTGCAAAAAGGATTTTGGAGGATTCAGGGCGGTTAGGGTTAACCCTAACCTTCCTTCAAAATCCTCCTTGCAAAATGGAAGATTTTGGAAGAATGAGGCTACATGTATGCATGGCAAAAAAGTGTGGCTCATTTTGGAAGATGCACTGTGTCAAGGTCTTGGGCCGAACCTAGTGTTGTTTATGCTAACCGTGCATACATTTAGGCCAAGATTATACTTGAAATCCTCTGCACTGTTCCAGCATGTCACTGGCTCTGCCTCAACATATTGACACTGATTGCCAGGGGATTTTGCAGCATTGAGGCAGTGGCCACCCCTCCAAGGACCAAATAATTGACAATCTCTTGGGGGGGGGGGGCTCAAGACTCCACAGACTTTTGTGTGTGTGTGTGAAAAAGACACGAGGGATTAGCGTGTTCATTAACTGAGACCAGAAATCGCCTTACCTTTTTTGGGAGGAATTTTCAGTTCTTCGATCACATTGAGAACGTCTTCCCGATTCAGGCTTTTCAGGACCGCTGTCATTTCTTCAATGGTTCCATCCATGGCCTGTTCGTTCAAGAAAAAAGAAGGACTTAAAATGAGGGCAATATTTTGGTCTCACAATCTGAACTAGAAATACACCTGAATTGCCAATTGAAATATTAATGTAATGAAACAACAATAAAACACACCCAAAAAAACAGAGTAGATTGAGCATGATTTTTGCTGAACCAGTTGTGACACTGACAATTCTATCTAAAATGACATCAAGGTTTTGATCATAAATGTGAAAATTTGCATTAGCATAAAACCAAAAACACTCCGTAGCACCCTAAAATGGTTTTACGAAAGAAAGGAAATGAAGTCTAAATGGGACACGAAGGAACATTCAAATATTACGGTAGTGTTGTAGTTGAGTCCATCACAAGTTCATCACAAGCCATCACAAGTCCATCGCAAGCCATCACAAATCCATCACAAGCCATCACAAATCCATCACAAGCCATCACAAGCCATCACAAGTCTATAACAAGCCATCAGAAATCCATCACAAGCCATCACAAGTCCATCACAAGCCGTCGCAAACCCATCACAAGCCATCACAAACCCATCACAACTATCATAAACCCATCACAAGCTATCACTAGCCATCACAAGTCCGTCACAAATCCACAAAAAGCATCGCAAATCCATCACAAGCCATCACAATTCCTTCACAAGCATTCACATGTCTATCACGAACTATCACAAACCCATCACCATCACAAACCTATCACAAGCTATCACAAGTCCGTCACAAGTCCACCACAGATCCATCACAAGCATTCACAAGTCTATCACAAGCTATCACAAATCCATCACAAGCCAACACAAATACACCACAAGCCATCACTAGTCCACGAGTCCATCACAAGCCATCACAAGTCATCACAAGTCCATCACAAGCCATCACAAATCCATCACAAGCCATCACAAGTCATCCAGTCCACCCACAAACTGTTGAAATGAACTGTGAAAAAAAGCATTCCTTAGTTACTGTTCATCCACTGTTACTTGTGACTGGACTTTATGAATGGACTTGTGATTTACTTGTCATGGACTCGACTACAAAATTGCAGTTACAAAAAGGGCGTTTTAATACCTCATACTGGTCAAGCAGGATGCTAGTCGGGCTGTCAAACACCCTCAATTGGTTGATCATGTTGCCAAGCCCAAGCTTGTCGGCCAATGAGATCCAATCCTTATGAGGATTGACCTCGTCCAAGAGCGACTCCAGCTTGCGCCGAACCATCGAGTCCAGGCGGTTCATGTCGCCCCTGGGCAAGCCGGTGCCCGTGCTGGGCCGGTAGACCGAAGCGTGCTTCGACTGGTAGCCTGAGTCGCTGGTACCCGTCGCCGGGTCGCCGGTGACCTTCCCGGGCAGCGATCCGGTAGAGGTGGTGGATGGGATTGAGTAGGACAAACTGGGAATGTACGGCTCCCCGTTCAAGATACTCGCCATCTGCGCAAAGCAATGAAAAAGTGAAAAATGGTTTAATACACTTTTAATTTCAGAATATGAAATGAAAGGTAAAGGCTGCGTGTCCAAGTACCCCCTCAATGGTAAGAACGGTACCCCCTCAACGGTAAGGTGGAGGAAACCAAGGGCGGGACTTCGCGTAGCTACACTCGGATGAACAAGAATGTGTCCCGGAAGCCGATTTTGGGTGGAATTCAAAATAAGACTCGGTAACTTTTGAATTGAAATCGAGATCCTAGAATATTGTTTTTCTCGGAATATACAGCATGCAAAGAGCTAATACTTCATCAGGTTAGTTGTCAAGCACCCGTCTTAAGATTTTAGGCACTTTTGTTGCTTCGAACAAAACAAAATTAACAAATTACAAATGAGACCGGCTCCACAAAAAAGGGTGTTATGTCGCCAAAAAGTTATATGCATGGTTGGAAAGCCCAGAACGTAAGCTTTCATTTGGTATATCACAGAGCTCCATAGCCCTCCCCGATCTGGGGATATGACATATTTGCATAATAATTACTTCCATGGAGTTCAAATCACACAACTGAGAAAACAGGCTTTGAAATAGCTGGCTTTGTTGTAGAACAACAGAACGATTCACACAAAATGGTTGTTTATTTCCACTTTATTCATCAAAATCAACATTTCTGTGAATGAAACCTGAAACTGTAGGTATTAAAGATGACATTCATGACAAAGAAAGGAAAATCACATTTTGACGAAATGTTCACCCTCTCAACGTTGAGCGGGCCATTACACAATAATGCACAGCGCGACTTAGGCAACAAAAAAAAAGTCTTGGAGCTTGCCCTAAAAGTGGTGCGGCGACGCGGCTTTTTTTTTTTTTTACCTGTTTATTTTTGCTTCAAATGTCGGCTGATGACTGCAAATGGTGCCCGACTAAACTTAGTGCCAATATTATGGGAGACCAGAGAGGCCACATAAAGCTTATTCTCAACCATAACCCAATCTAAAAACACGTTAAAATTGTGCAGCAGCAGGATTCCAGTCAATCCAGTGAGTTTGGCGGTTTTGAGACATCATCTTTCATTGAAAAAAAAAACTTTTTCATTTTGCCGACGCGCATGGCTACGGCGACGCGCGCGCATACCAGAAACCGGAGACTTTTTTTTTTGGCCTTAATACCCTATTTTTGTAAAGCCGGTCACAAACGGTCCACTCTGCCTTTCACCCCACTTGCCAGGGTCTAGCTGCATTTGGGGGAGGGGGGGGGGAAATCAAAATCCAAAAAGAAAGGACCTCTCCCTACCCTTGTGGATTGGGCCATATTCATGGGTGTCTTTCCGCAGAGGTCAGGGTCCTCCCCGCGCTTCTCCGTGCCATACTCCTCAAACTCCTCCAGATGTCCGTCACTCGAGGCCACGCCCACATCCCCGAGATACTCGTCCGAGGTGTCGAAGTTCTCAACGCACGGGTCGGCCCCCGCGCTGATCAGGACAGCCGCGACGGCGACGTAGTCCAGGCTGCAGGCCAGATGCAAGGGGGTGTCGCCGGCGTAGGTCTGGGCGTGGATGTCAGCGTCCGCGTCGCCGATGAGGTAGCTCAGGAAGGAGAAGTTCTCTTGCTCCACGGCGTAGTGGAGAGGCGTCCGACCGCTTTTACCATCCTACAAGACGCGGAGAAAAGAATTAAGAGCACAGTCAAGTGGTGTTTGACCCATGAGCTGCACTATATGGGTTCGAACACCTGACAGAGATCCTGGTGTTTGTGTTCTTGGGCAAGACACTTTACTACCACATTTGCGAGGACATTTGCACTTGGTCCAAGAAATTGGTCGTGCCACACAACCATTTAGAAATTCTTTCAGAAATCATCTTTTTTTTAGACGTAAGACCAATCGTATCAATGCTGAGAAGCCTCACATCATGACTTACTGGAATGTTGACGTCTGCTCCGTTCTTCACAAGAACCTTCAGGTTCGTGTGGTTGCCACAGCTCACTGAAATGTGGGCCGCTGTCATTCCTGAAGGACACAATCAAGGATTACATGGTCAACATCAAACAATGACATCAGCAATTACTAGATAATTTAACCCATTAGTTTCTGGCTGTTACTCCATGTACTGCCCCAAACCACCCTGCTGTTACGCCCTGTACTGCCCCAAACCACCCCGGCCTGTTACTCCCTGTACTGCCCCAAACCACCCTGCTTGTAACTCCCTGTACCACCCCAAACCACCCTGCCTGTTACTCCCTGTACCACCCCAAACCACCCTGCCTGTTACTACCTGTACCGCCCCAAACCACCCTGCCTGTTACTCCTGGTACTGCCCCAAGCCACCCTGCCTGTTTCTCCATGTACTGCCCCAAACCACCCTGCGTGTTACTCTCTGAACTGCTCTAAACCGCCCAGCCTGTTATTCCCTGTACTGCCCTAAACCACCCTGGCCTGTTACTCCCTGTACCGCCCCAAACTACCCTGCCTGTTACTCCCGGTACTGCCCCAAGCCACCCTGCCTGTTTCTCCATGTACTGCCCCAAACCACCCTGCCTGTTACTCCCTGTACTGCTCCAAACCACCCAGCCTGTTACTCCCTGTACTGCCCCAAACCACCCTGCCTGTTACTCCCTGTACTGCCCCAAACCACCCAGCCTGTTACTCCCTGTACTGCCCCAAACCACCCTGCCTGTTACTCCCTGTACTGCTCCAAACCACCCCACCTGTTACTCCCTGTACTGCCCCAAACCACCCTGCCTGTTACTCCCTGTACCGCCCCAAACCACCTTGCCTGTTACTCCCTGTACCACCCCAAACCACCCTGCCTGTTACTCCCTGTACTGCCCCAAACCACCCTGCCTGTTACTCCCTGTACTGCCCCAAACCTCCCTGCCTGTTACTACCTGTACTGCCCCAAACCACCCTGCCTGCTACTCCCTGTACTGCTCCAAATCACCCTGCCTGTTACTCCCTGTACTGCCCCAAACCACCCTGGGAACCCTATGGTTTCATTACCGTCAAGATTCTTTTCATTGATTTGGGCCGTGATTGGCTGGATGGTTAGGCGGTCGCGTCCCGGGGGAGGTGGTGGTCCTCGCACCAACAGCCGCGTGATGTCGCTCAGCCCCTCCTGCGCGGCAAGGTGTAGCGGCATGTTGCCCTTGTGGTCCATGATGTTGGGGTCGGCGCCGCAACGCAGCAGCACCTCCACCACGTCGCGCTGTTTGGTGAGGACGGCAATATGCAGGGGGGTCTGTAGACAAAAAAAATTCAACCATGGATAATCAAGCTGCTATCCCTCTGGTTTGGATCTGGTATAAAGTTAAAGATTTTGAACTTCCCCAAGATTGTCCTTTAATGAAGCTTTCAAACTTAAAACAAGAAGATGTACCTGATGTAGTTGGTTGACGTAATTGATGATTTTCTGCCCCGGAATGCTGATGATGACGTTCAGAAGACCCAGTATGACGTCGTCCTTCTTGTTAATAATCGCAAGATGTAGAGGACTGAGAGGGTAAAGAGAGAAAAAATGCTTTTTTATACTCTTTACAGAGCCAGAATTTGTATCATCTTTTGGGGATTCTGTCTTCTGATCTCAAAAGTGCAATGACCGATTGTTATGCAATATGGTAAGCCAGTAGATACATTCATGCTTAGTAGATATGCGATGTTTAAGCTCCATCGGACAAAGCATTTTAATATTATGATGATTAATAGTCCCTAGTTTTAGGTGAATGCGTTTTCCTATACAGTGGAACGTCGCTATACCGAACACCGCTATACCGAACATTCGGCTATACCAAACATCATCCCCAATTCAATGTGAATTTTTATCATTTGCACAACAAAAACGTTTTGGGACGAGCAAAAACAAAATTTGTAAACAGAAAACGATACAGAAACAGAAAAGAAACGTACGTGTCGCCGTTTTCGTCTTCGACGGCGGTCAGATGGCGCTGTACAGCTAGGATCATTTTGATGTCGGCCGTGACGGCAAAGTCATGCAGGGCTCGGGAGGTACGCTCGGCCAGACGCCAGGCCAACGAATCGTAGTCAAAGGGAAGGTCGTCTGTAATAGTTAATAACAGTTACCAGCTAAAAAAGCCATGTAATAGCCATTGTTACTGAAGTTTTCAGAATACCAGCTACTCAAAAAAGGCAAGCATTACATTTCAAGTGACGAATGTTCATTTTCATGAATGTTTTGGTATCATTCCCATTTCAAAATGTATAGGCATATAACTCGACTTGTCTTTGGAAATGGCCTTCTTTCATTGTTTTCTTTGAAGTGAAAGCATGCCAGAAAGAATAATTTCACAGGGAGTTTAGTGCATAATTTGCAAACATCAAAAACAAAACTACCAAATTATTATGAAATACCTTACTGGACTGTTAGTGAATGACAGTCTAAAGCATCCTGTAAAATCATGGCACCTGGTGTGCTGTCATTTTTAAGAAAAAGTGGTATTTTTGTATCAATTTCTGGTCGGCTGACCAGCATTGGAAAAAACTGGCTTTTTTCAAACAATGTCCCTTATTTACCATATTTAGTTCCGCATTTGGTTTGCAATCGATTACACACCTATGAACAGGTACAAGCAAGCTAGACTGCTTCCCTGACCTTACAATTCCCTGGCATCTGTAAACTGCTCTGTTTCATCTTACATGTAAGTGGGGTAAGGGAGCCAGACTACAAGACCATGATTGTTTTTCTTGGTTTTTCCAGCATCTATCGAACACAAAACTTCAAACAATGTCAGTGTAACAACATTTGCTAAAATACTAACCCCCAAATTCATCCATTTCTAAAAATTAATTAAAAAATCTATCAAACTTAGGTCTAGAGTGCTGTGGCCTCTTTTTTTCCCCAACTTTCACTCGGGAGGTAACACACCGAGTATACAGTGTTTAAACGTCGGTGGAGGGCAAAACCTAATTTGATTTATATCACCCCGACGCAAAATTCCATCTTATAAAAATTACAGCAAAAGCAAATGTTGTATATATTAAACAAAGCTTTTCGACTATAATTTCGTTGCTTAATTTTTGGATAGCTGCAAATGATATACATGTACTCTACACTTTAGGCAGAAAAAAAAGGCACATGGACAGACTGACAAAACAACAGACCTACCTGTCTGAACACAACTGTCTGCCATATCTTTAGTTCTCTCCACGATGATGTCAGCGAACGGTTTCATGGAATCCCGCAACTTATGCTGAGACACCACATCCGGTTCTTCTGTTTCAGAAATTTAAAAAAAAGCAAGTGGTACATCTTTTTGAATTGGGTTTTCCTTTTGCCGGCGTTATGTTTGTTAACACTGTATGCGCAGTGTTGTCCGAGGGCTAGCGAGAAAAACCCCACAAAGCTTACTCCGGTGAGACTCGCAAAGTCCAAGGAAGGTACTACAGTTTGTAGTACACGTTACAATAGGGGTCCAAATTCACTGAACTATTTGCCGTCTATTAAACTTAGGTCTAGAGTGCTGTGGCCTCGTGGTTAAGGGCATTGGATTCGTGGTCTGCAGGTAAAGCTGCAGGTTGCGGGTTCAAGTCCAGCCTGGGGTCATGGAGCATGTGCCCTTGGGCAAGGCACTTTGTCACTCATTGCTTCTCTCCACCCAGGGGTAAATGGGAACCTGTGAGGGCAGAGATGGTTATTATGATTGAATAAGGGCCCAATGAGCAGGGGCAATAATGGTCAGAAGACAGCAAACTGCCGTTACTTAAAGCTTCCTGACTGTCTTGCTGACAGGATGGTTGATTATCCATGCCCTGCGGTGAAGCTGGCTAGACTCACTAAAAGGATTTTACAAACATGTGTGGTTCTTGTCAAAGGGGCTTGCAAGCAAGCTTGCTCATTACAAAATTATATGTACTGTATGCACACTTGAAGGTTTATAGCAACAAGCATGTGCAAGCTTGCAAATACATGTACATGCACAATTTTGCTGCAAGCTTGCAGCAAGTACATGTGCAAGCTTGCAAGTACACATGCAAGCTTGCCGCAAGCTTGAGAGTACATGCGAAAGCTTGAGCTCAACATTATATGTGCAAGCTTGCCTCACATCCGTGCAAGCATTGCAAGGTTGCTGCAAGGTTGCTGCAAGGTTGCTGCAAGGTTGCTGCAAGGTTGCTGCAAGGTTGCTGCAAGGTTGCTGCAAGATTGCTGCAAGGTTGCTGCAAGGTTGCTGCAAGGTTGCTGCAAGGTTGCTGCAAGGTTGCTGCAAGGTTGCTGCAAGGTTGCAAGCTTGCAAGTTTTAAAGTTGCTTGCAGCTGGATTGTGTGCAAATGCACAATCTCATGCAAGCTTGCGGTAAGCTTCACAATCTAGGTAACAGCTTAATACAAGCTTGCGGCAAGCTAACTTTTTCGTAAGGGGGGTGGGGTTTGGCTACAAGTCCCTTACCAACTGGAGCAGAATCCACTTCAAGATCACTGTCCACCTCATTCTCATCCATGGCCGTAGCGTCCACGGCGGGTACAACAGCTGGTTGACTATCCTGCACCGCTTCCTTGACACCGGTAGCTGCCGCGGCCGGTAACACGACCACTCGCTGGCTGTCCTTGCCGACACCCCGGCTTTGGAAGACTAACCCTTGCTGGTTCTGCTGCTGTTGCTGCTGCTGTTGTTGCTGCTGCTGATGCTGCTGCTGCTGCTGACGAAACTGGTTCATTATGCTCATGTGTTCTTGCTCTGTAACAATAAAAATATCACATATCAATGCTAGCACGTACAGTGACACGCCGCTATAACGAACATCGTGGGATCCACAGAAAGTGTTCGTAATAACGATCGTTCGGTATAGCGATTTTGAACCGCCTGTACCCTCTTTTGACCAATAGTCAACTGGCATTTCTCACATCCCGCGGCTGCATGAGGAGTCGTCACGAAACTTAAGCAATGGTTTTCCCTTGTATTCCTTTTGGAAATAATAGCCATCTATCGCTCTTCAACATTGGAAGACGATGTAACTATGGGTCATTTGATGTTCGGGAATTAAAAGTGGCCCAAATAGTGTTTAATACATGTACATGTACAACCGGTAGATTTTTGGTTAATCTGTTAACTTTTTTCAAGAACTATGTTCGGTACGTTTTGTACATTAAAACCGAGAGCCAAGGATGATGTTCGGTATAGCCGAATGTTCGGTATAGCGGTGTTCGGTACAGCGGCGTTCCACTGTACCAGTATTGTGCTCATGGCGCTACATCATTTGTACCCCTGCTCATGTGGGCCTATAAAACATTCCAAAGACCATCTCAGCTCCTGAGGTGCATGTAGTATAAATGTACAGCTCAATGCTGCAATATCCATGCAAAGCAGTGAAAAGTACACGGAACCATTTGCGATGCAATCAAGCTAAAATGAGTCGTTTGTCGGGAACTTTCACTTGGAGGTTCAGGCCAAAATAGGGCCACTTCATCACATCACTTCGTCACATCTCTTGGTGTTCCGACTTTCATTATATTTGAACTAAAGATGGTATCAGCATGCCGTTTTCACATCAGTAATGCTGAGATTTTGCTCTTTTCAAAACGATAAAAAAAAATTGACCGGGGTCGACAAACGACTCATTTAGCTTGATCGCATCACATTTGCATTTTGTTCATTTTTTTTCATTTGAAATAATAAAATTGCTCAACATTTGCAGAAGGGTGCACTGAATAACAAATGAATTGTTTAAGTCTCAGCTCAGTGGATGCTCTTCAGTTTGAGAAAACACAGAAAACAAATGCACAATTTTTGGGGGGTTTCGTAACTGGATTCTATTGCTAACGCACGTAGAAAATGTGCCAGCGGGCACATTTTCTGAAAACCAACTTCAATGATTGTTTTCTTCCAGAATAATTTCACAGGGTATTTGGTACCAGTCCTATCTTCAATTTGAGCTAGGATGTTCTGGTCGAATCAGTAGGTACATTTCCAGGTCATTGCAAATGTTCCAACATGCCTTTAAAATCAATCAATCAATCAATTTTAATACATGTCACGAGAAACAAGAACACAAGTCTACATGGGCTCACCTCTCTGTATATTCCCATTGTGGCTGGCCGTGGGCGCTGCCGCTTGGTAGCTGTTGGCCGGTCCCCCGCCACCGCCCCCACCGCCAAAGTTCATGTTGAGGGGTGTCTCAGTGGAAAAGGGGTACCCACCGCCCCCACCCCCTCCTCCCCCACCCCTGGTGCCGCCGAACCCCCCTTTGCCCCCACCCCCGCCATAGCAGTGGTCTTGGAATGACGGCAATGGTTTCTTCCTCTTTCTGAGGATGCTCTCTTTGTCTATGGGGTAGAGACATGGTACGTGTAGATTAAATAAAGGGTACCATGGAGGCCTGAACAAAATAAAACAATGTTTCCTCCTTTCTGAGGATGTTCTCTTTGTTTATTGGATTGAGACATGGTATGTGTAGATTCACAAAATGGTACCACGGAGGCCTGAACAAAATAAAACAATGTTTCCTCCTTTCTGAGGATGCTCTCTTTGTCTATTGGGTAGAGACATGGTACATGGAGATTCACAAAATGGTACCACGGAGGCCAGAACAAAATAAAACAATGTTTCCTCCTTTCTGAGGATGCTTTCTTTGTCTATGGGGTAGAGACATGGTACATGGAGATTCACAAAATGGTACCACGGAGGCCACAAACAAAATAAAACAATGTTTTCAATGCCAATCAATATGATGTTATTTTTGTATGTTTGTTTGGTTGATTGGTTTATTGTTTACTTTCTGACGGAGGAATAATTCAAATTTCAAAAATGTTTATTTCTCTCAATTTTTGATGTGTTTGACTTCAACGCCTGGTTGAAAGCAAACCAAAATAAGCTGGCACCTGGTGTGCTTTCGGCTGACCAGCGTTGAAAAAAAAACTGGGTTTTTTTCTTCAAATACTGCCCCCATTTTACAATATTTTAGTACGCATTTTGTTTGGCAATTGATTACACACCTACATGTATGAACAGGTACAAGCCATCCAGACTGGTTCCCTGACCTTACAATTCCCTGACGGCTATAAATTGCTCTGTTTCATCTTAAATGGGGACCTTACAATTCCCTGACGGCTATAAATTGCTCTGTTTTATCTTAAATGGGTCAGGGAACCAGACTACAGGAATATGATTGTTCTTCTCGGTTTTTCAAGTATTTACAAACACAAAACTTCAATTAAGTCAGTGTAACAACATTTGCTACAAAATACTAGCCCCCAAATCCATCCATTTCTGAAAATTACAGCACAAGAAAATGTGGTAGATTCCCTTGAAATCGGACACAATCAGGCTTGCGCAAGTAAGCCCAGGGGAAGTAATTGAATGCGTGGGTTCAGAAAATGTACACAAACCGTAGGTGGGCAGTGCTTATAATGACCAAATCTGGAACAGTCTATTGCTCTGAGGTGAGAAAAGGGAATTCCCCAGGATGTCCCAATCCGGAATTTCCCTTCACGGCTGACAACAAAAGTGAACAATCTGTTCCTGGTTTTGTCCAGGATCTTACCCGTGAGCTGGGGGTGATAGGTGAATGGTTTTGGGTCGCTCACTTCCTTATCGGAGCGGCGCTGCAGTTGGACCTGGACGTAAACCGGCTTCTGAATGTAGCAGTCCTTGTAGCGGGGAGTTTTGAAGACGATGGCGAACTGCAGAGAGCAAACGAATTTTGCATATTTCTTTTTCCATCAAATGACACACTTTTAGTGATTTTGAGAAAGCTGATTAATGGACAAAAAGTACTGTAGCGGCCTTTGAAGTAAATAAAAATTATACTTGGCAAAATAAGCAAAAAACTTGAAATCTACTGAGCTCAATTTTCTACGTAAATCACACAATACTAAATTCCATCATTTGGCATAAATTTGTACAAATTTTGGGATTAGAAAGAGAACACAGAAAAAAAAACTGAACCCAAAAAACCATGATTTTTCAGACACTGTCTGAAGAAGCCAGAAGTCATCAGTATCTCCATATATCATCCTGAAAAGCCTTTGTTTTCGTTCAAATTTTTTTCCTCTTCCTTTCTTTTTTTCTTCTTCTATCCAAAGTCCCATAGATTTTGTACATGTGGAGCATGTGAAGCGCTATGGAACAATGGTTACTATATTCAACTCTTATGTGAACATACATGGGTTCAAACCATGACGTGGGACATGGTGCTTGTGTTCTTGGGCAAGACACTTTACTACAATTGGGTACCTGTGACAGTACAGACCAGACTACACTGATGTCAAGCTGCTACAGAAATATGGTCCCTTGCTTGATGAATAAGGTCATACATGTAACTGTGAAGGGTTTGAGACTTTGGTAAAAAATATGCTATGCGGGCTTCGCACACAAGTACCCCCTCAACGGTAGAAGAGGGAAAGTTGGGGGAGACCAATGGGTGAGGCCTTTCAAACAGGTCGCTGACGACACCTGATGCTCACGCAAAGACGCTATAGCTTTGCTCACATTCATACCGGTACCTCACGCTATATACGCGCATGAACCAGTACGCGCACATGGTGTGTCCCGTCCTCTGGGCTCTTCAAAGTGGTAAAACAGCGCCCTCTCTTGTTCATGCATGGGGCCCAGGAGCGGGGCATTATTATTACTTGTTAATTTCTGGCCAGAAACTTTGGTCATCCTACCTGTCTGTGGACATCTGTCGGCCCGAATTCCCCCTGCGCCTCCCAGACCACGTCCCCGTTGCCGTTCATCTCAAAGAACCGGACTGAAACGTCCTCCTTCTGGACCTTGTCGCACAGCAAGTAGACCTCTTCGTTGCCCGTCACGCAGCCCGAGCTCTTGTCCATGCGGCAGATTTTCAGGGTGGTGGCCCCCGGTGCCTCTGTTTTTAGGGGAGATTGGAATGATGAGAGTTAGAGGAAGACCAATGGGGAATGATCAAAGATGATTACAGTAGATTAAAGGCACATCTACCATTTTGGGTTTTTTTATGTTTGCAAATGTTGTATTTTATCTTTAAAGTCGCATATTGCATGCTCTTCAAGCAATGGATTTTTTAGTGCTAATAATAATAATAGTAGTAATACCGGAGTCTTATATAGTGCACCTATCTACCAACAATTAGGTGCTCAAGGCACTGGTAATTATGTCTATTTTTTAAAGACAGATAAATGAAGTTTTATGAGAAATGTGAGACCCATCATGTAGCACCTTTATAAAAGGGTTTACAAGTTGCTGCGGCGCATATTGCAGCCACTGCCAGAAACACCGGGGCAAACCCCTTCTCTTAGCGATAAGTGTTACTGGGCTCTGTAACGTGCACACACGCGAGACATACATGTACGGCTTTACGTCCCATCCGAAGGACGAAGCAATAATGGTAAAGCACCTTGCTCAAGAGCACAAACACCATGTTCCCCGTCAGGATTCAAACCCATGTACATGTGCCACGGCACACAAGTCGAACACCGTAATCACTGGACCACAGCACCCCACTGATTTTAAATTTTGAGAGGAAATAGTTCAATAACTAAAAGTCAGGGGGATTTTTCGGTTCAACATGTTCAAAGTCTCATTTCATGAAGTGATTAGGTTTTATTTTGCAAGGAAAACAGCAAATGAAATAAATAAATGCGAGGCGTTCTGGCAAAATGAGACACACAGAGTTCAAAATGAGGCTTTGTGTGTATCAGGAAAGAATTTCTGAAAACATAAAACTAAGGAAGACGTTCCAGTGAAAGGGGGCACTTACTGCTGTCATATATGGGCACCGACACGACCGGCGCCAGTGGCTGGTTGAAGTGACCGGTCGCATCCGGAAGGTAGGCCTGGAAACACAGCCGCACCACGGACAGGTCCATCTCTTTGGCCACTTCCTTTGCCTTCTTGGCCAGCTGGTCTTCTGTGTCCATCATCCCCTGTGCTCGGCAGTCTTTGTCGCTGAGCACCGAGCGGTACATTTTCTGCTGCTCACGCAACCGGTCCTTCAGGACCTTTTCGACGTTCTTGCGGGTGACGTGGAGGATACCCAAATTTGGGAAACTGGATATGAACAAAATTTACATGTATGTACAACAACATTAAACCCTGCTAAATGCAACAGGAAGCAACAAAGGTAACAATTTGTTGCATACTGTTGCATTTAGCAGCCACCTCAAGTACTGTGCTTTTGTTACTTCTTGTTGCATTTAGCATGGTAACTGCTCATAGTGCCAAGGCGATACAAGAGTATCCACTGTTGCATCTTGTTGCATTTAGCACGGTAACCGCTCATAGTGCCAAGGCGATACAAGAGTATCCACTGTTGCATCTTGTTGCATTTAGCATGGTAACTGCTCATCATAGTGCCAAGGCAATACCAGAGTATCCACTGTCGCATTTGGTTGCATTTAGCAGGGTAACTGCTCATAGTGCCAAGGCGATACAAGAGTATCCACTGTTGCATCTTGTTGCATTTAGCATGGTAACTGCTCGTCATAGTGCCAAGGCAATACAAGAGTATCCACTGTCGCATTTGGTTTCATTTAGCATGGTAACTGCTCATCATAGTGCAAAGGCAATACAAGAGAATCCACTGTTGCATTTGGTTGCATTTAGCAGGGTAACTGCTTATAGTGCCAAGGCAATACAAGAGAATCCACTGTTGCATTTTGTTGCATTTAGCATGGTACATGCAACTGCTCATCATAGTGCCAAGGCAATACAAGAGAATCCACTGTTGCATCTTGTTGCATTTAGCATGGTAACTGCTCATCATAGTGCCAAGGCAATACAAGAGTATCCACTGTCGCATTTGGTTGCATTTAGCAGGGTAACTGCTTATAGTGCCAAGGCAATACAAGAGAATCCACTGTTGCATTTTGTTGCATTTAGCATGGTACATGCAACTGCTCATCATAGTGCCAAGGCAATACAAGAGTATCCACTGTCGCATGTTGTTGCATAAATACCTGTAGCATGGTACAATGTAACTGCTCATAAGGTGATACAAGAGTATCCACTGCTGCAGTGTGTTGCATAAGCAGTGTAACTGCTTGGTGCCAAGGCTGGTATGCACTGGGTTCACTGCACAATGCAACAGAATCCACTGTTGCAGTTTGGTTGCATTTAGCAGGGTTCTCGTTTGAATTGAGTTAGATATTGTTGCATTTAGCAGGGTAACTGCTTGGTGCCAAGGCTGGTGTGCACTGGGTTCACTGCACAATGCAACAGAATCCACTGTTGCAGTTTGGTTGCATTTAGCAGGGTTCTCGTTTGAATTGAGTTAGATATTGTTGCATTTAGCAGGGTAACTGCTTGGTGCCAAGGCTGGTATGCACTGGGTTCACTGCACAATGCGACAGTATCCACTGTTACAGTTTGGTTGCATTTACATGTAGCAGGGTTCTCATTTGAGTTGAGTTGGACATTGTTGCATTTAGCAGGGTAACTACTTGGTGCCAAGGCTGGTATGCACTGGGTTCACTGCACAATGCAACAGAATCAGTTTGTTGCATTTACATGTACCATGTAGCAGGGCTCTCATTTGAGTTGAGTTGGATATTGTTGCATAATTTAGCAGGGTACCTGAAGAATACCCGATGGGGGTCAAGGTTAATAATAAAACCTACTCTTGCACGGTCTAGGTCCAAAACTGGATTTGGATCTTGAATCAAATCTACATTGTAGTCTTGGGAATCTTGGCGCTCAGACCCGAGACAATCCAAAGCATTCCAGTACATGTACGGTAGCTCACACATAAAATAAATTGACAACAAAACAGCCCAACTAAGAATATATATATATATATTTGTCGTTTTAATTAACCCAACTAAGAACATTCCTGGGCGTTCATGAACACTTCTCAGAATATTTCAACAAACTAAAACAAAAAAACTAAAACCACTGTCTTGAATAAAGACTGGTTGCCTACCTTGCCGTCATATCGGTGGGTCCGAGTTGCACAGTGCACACTCCATCATTGCAGTGTTTACCCACAATGCTGTGCGCGTGGGGCTTGGGTATTTCATCATTGGTAACCAAGGAGACAACAATTCTCGCCAATCCGGTGTAGTTGAGGATCTGCATTGGCAAAGAATTTTTTTAAGAATTGTTTCCTGCTGATTGTGGCCATTCAACCATGTCAACCAGTATTCATAAATACCTCAGACAGTTTAGCCATTCCTACTGGTCGAGAGCCCGTCACGTGGCCGGTCTTAAACGGATGATAAAGACATGGCTAGCTGGTCTTAAACACTTTTCCAGTGTCACAACAAAATGTGGACTCCTAAAAATCCAGTGCCTCTTACCGTTTCATTGGTTGAACGTTCACATGCGAGTCAGAATTTTATAGTTCTAAATTCAAAACGCAACGCCCCAGGTGCGTTCTGCGTGACATCGCGCAGAACATGCTACGCGCGCGTCAATCTCCATAAAAGGGTTGTTTACATCTTAATCGCCAGCTGAACACTCCATTATTTTGCTAGAGGGATGTTTCAAAAAACATAAAGTGAACTTGTTGAACAAAATCGGGATTTTTTGAACGAATTATTTGATATTTTTTTACGGATAAGGTATTTATGAATGGGAATAAATATGTGCTCGGTCGGTATTTATCACTCTGTTTAATACCGCTTAGAGTCTGGGTGCTGATAATTACCCTCGCCTCCGGCTCAGGTAATTATCAGCACCCAGACTCTAAGCGGTATTAAACAGAGTGATAAAAACCTCTCGAGCACACATTTATTCCCTTAATAAAACTCCTCCAGGGGGATTTAATGTTGAGATTGAGTTGAAATCCTGGGCCCAATTTCATAGCACTGCTTAACAGTAAGCAGAAAAGTTGCGCTTACTATAGCAGAAAATCATGCTGCTGCTTAAGCACTATTTCATGCTTACGGTTGCGCGCGCATGGAGATTTCTATTGTTGCGTCACTGATTTAAGCAAAGTTTTCTTCTGGGGTTAAGCGTGCTTTTGCTGTGCTTACTGCTTAACGGTCCCTATGAAATAGATGGAGGCTCGGTAAGCATAAAGTTGGCTGTTAAGCAGCGCTATGAAATTTGGCCCTGGTATAGGCTGAGGCAAATACCCGAATATACATGCTCTGTACTCGGGTTTTCTCTTAACAGACATGTCAGAGGGGTTCACGGCACGAATGAACTTTAACCCTACCCCCCTAGGCCCTTGTTGCTTACAACCATCCTCAATCCTCCAAAATCCTCCAAAATTTTGCAACTCCGCCTAAATTTTTCAAAATTGTCAGACAGTCCTGCCTCAAAATGCATTCATCCTCAATCCTCCAAAATCCTCCTCATCCCAAAATTTTGCACTCGTGTTTAAATGAAGGATAACCCAACGCCAAATCCTTCAAAATCATCAGACAGTCCTGCCTCAAAATGCATTCATCCTCAATCCTCCAAAATCCTCTTGTGCTTCAATCACCATTCATCCTCAATCCTCCAGAATCCTCATTTGATTCAATCACCATTCATCCTCAATCCTCTAGAATCCTCCAAAACCGCCAGGAGGATTTTGGAGGAGTGAGGTGGGTTAGGGTTAATAAAAACTTTATTTTATATTTGTGATGCGATCGAGCTAAAATGAGACATTTGTCGACCCTGGTCAACTATTTTGGTTTAAAGATGTGAAAAGAGTACAATCTCAGCATTTCGACCCTTCGTGACTTCGAAACGGAGCCCGAACAACTGAAAGGAGTTGAAAATTTACAAAGAAGATAAGTTTTACAGATTTTCCTACATTATTATGCTTTTCAACCAAAAATGGACACCGCATTTATGAATGGGCCTGGAATAAAAGAGTGATGATTGACTCAGTCTTAACGGCCGTTTCAAACCGTGCAGGGTCGTGGTCATGATGACTTGCAGGTCACAGGTCACGCAAAAATCTATCCAATCAGAGCCTTAATTCGTCAGCCCTTCTCAGCGTCCTTTTTGCAAGGCGGTGGGGGGGGGGGGGTACGAGCAAATTTGAGTCATCAAATTCAATGAATTTCAATGAAATTCAAAGATTTCTCCGACGGCCCTCTCTCTTACCTCTACTGATGGGTAGGTTCGTTTTCCTTTCTGGTTGTTCTGTCCTGGCAGTCCCCCGTGCGACGGCCCTTCGCAGTCATACCGAAACCGAAATCCACGCTGTCAAATTAAGAATACACATTTGAAAGGTTTGGTTGTCAAGATCTGTTTGTTTGTTTGTTTTAAATGAGGAGCAAGTGTCTCTGTGATTTTTTTTTCATATTTTATTCACTTAACTTTTTATCTAAAAATAACACTTAAAATCATTATAAAAAGGCGGGGCCGGAACCCATTGACTCCTCCCTGTTTCTAGTCCTGGACACGCCCCCTAAAAAGAAAATGGTTTTCCGTATCAAGTTTCTCTCTTTAAACATGTTAAATGGGGCCATGACATAAAATGTACGCTGGAACTATACATGCATTTCGTGCAAATTTTAATTCCCCAAAAATGTACATGTACATGTATGAGAACTAAGAAACATCCTTTTTTAATGTTTTTGGTTAAAAGTTTTTGTTAACATTTGAAATATTCCATGCTTTTACAGACAACTGAGGTGCGCTATTTCTGTGATGTTACTATTAGTATTACATGTAAGGATTTTCTGTTCAAATTGTGAACCAAATTTTGGGAAACTGACAACATTTGGGCACGACTTTTAGAAAACTAATTCAAAGAAAAATTATGAAATTTACAAATAAGAGATTAAAAAGGGCCTGTTTGTGTACAAATTCCCGTTCCTTTGTATCCTGTTCGATAAAAGGAAACACAATCATGTCCAATACCCGTAATTAAATGAGTTGGGCAATTCACGAAGTCAGTTTTGGCAAAGTGCCAAATTCATTCTACTACATGTACAATGTAGATAACTGAATTTGAGATATGTTGCAAATAAAAATATGAAAGGTACATGTACCAGGACATGTTTTGTAAATAAAAGCAAAATTTTGAACAATGACCAACATGTGTGTGTGTTTTTTTCTCCACATTTTTAAAGCTGACTTTTGGGTATACATGGACATTTGGACATTTGTACGCAGACATGAATTTATTTATTTAGAATGTCATTTGAAATCAACTGTAAACAAATTAAATTTAACAAGTACCGGAAAATTACATGTGGGTCATTTCATAAATTTAGGGTCCAAAGTGTGACATATTTCCTGTCCCTGTTACCTTGGTACATTGTAATTTGCCAGTCAAGTATCATTAAGAATGACTTCAAGTTCAACAATTGTTTATTTGTTGGGTAAGTAGTTGGCTATTCATAATCACTCTTGGAGGACGACTGCATTAAGGAGTGCATCAGAATTATAAAAATCATAGATGTCAGATGTAACAGGGACAGGAAAAAAAGTGAATCCCCAAATTTACAGAATGCACCACACGCATCTGTAGAAGTGGCTTCATCCGCTTCCCATAGACGCATGTTATCGTTAGCTGCAGCCATATAATTTGGAGGCAACTTAAGCTTGTGAAGTATACATTCTTCACACAATTCCTTCAAATTATTGTTTGTTTGTTGGCATGGTTGGGTAGGTGTACATGTACATGTGTACCAGGTAGTTTGCTATTCATAATCACTCTTGGAGGACGACTGCATTAAGGAGTGCATCAGAATTATAAAATCACAGATATCAGATGTAACAGGGACAGGCAAAAAAGTGGACTAAACTGTATGTACAATGTTATATCCCTGCATGTGAATTACATTACAAATGTATATAAGCATCATGCTTTGGGGACTACTAGAATTTGTTCTTTTCAAATTGCAGTTCCTCATTTTAACACAATCACGATGCACACAAAACCAACAACTGCAGTTAGCCGTACATGTACATGTACATGTATGCTGTACAATGTACATGTACTGTGTGCCTGCTCTTTTGTGTAGTACAGGAAGTACAATAGGACAAAAAGGTCAACAATGCGGTATGTCCAAAAGGCGCAACTTCACTGGCAAATCTGTAGTGCGTAGATAAAGAACTGTTTTTCATTCAAATTTAATGGCATACTGTGTCAGTGTGATGACGTGTAGTTGAGGCTGGTTTAGTAATTGTGTATACATTTAAATTTTTCTGGTTTTTTTTTTTTCTTTCCAAGTTCACATGTAACTTGTGAGACGTTTTGGCAAAATCAGACAGAATTGGGAAAAGGTCAAAATAAGGGTTGGCAGGTATTGGGAAAGAGAATACAATTTTCTTTACAATACTGTTTGTCGCGTGTCAATTGGACGCCATTCCGTTGACAAGTTATGGCCGTTTAAAGTTCACATATTTATCGAAATGTCAAAAAAGTGAAATACTGAGAAAAGAAACCTTTCAAGTTCTGTTTTGTAGTTGTGAAAATGAAAAGTTACGCCAGTTTTTCCCCTTAAACACACTTTTATTCCACAATTTTTTAACACTATTTCTTTTCAAAAAATGTGTAGTAGACATAAAATAATATCAATGAATCTCCAAAAATCAATTATCCCCATTTGTAATTTCCTTCACTATGGCCGAGTTCCATCTCATTTTGACAGAACGCCTCACCTTAAATCTGATTTTTTTTTTTTCATTTTACATCTTTTTTACTGAACATTTGTAAAAGTGTTCAGCCGTCAAGCTTAGAAAAACATGGTCATGTGTATGCATGTTTTATTTTTAATAAACCAAACCAAAAACTAAAGTGTAGGCCTATATTATCGTTTCAGCTCACATAATTAGGCCTTCGTGTGCAAATACCACATGTGAAAACAAAATCGTTAATTTGATGCAAAAAGATTTAACATCTAAGAAATTATACAACTTTCAAAAAAATACAAACAAAGCAATGATTACACTTGTAATCGTTGTTTATTATTTTTTTGAAATTCGTATCCTTTTGATGTAAGTTGTACAAATGCAGATTTGAAACTCAGAATTAAAGTTGTCAACAACAGCATTCATCTTTCTTCAAAAAAGTATTAGAAAATTAGGGGGGTGCGGGAAATTATTTAAATGTGAACACTTCCCCCACCCCACCCCCCCCCCCCCAATTTACCGTGTACAAATGTACATGTACGTGCGTTGTCTTAACATACTCTGAATTTAATCTACATTTGTACATGTACATGTACAGCATGTACCTATGTGCATACAGGATGCAGGCATAAAACTTTCATGTAAATTTGTTTCCTTCAAATGCACAAGGAATTAATGCACGTGTCTGTGTGTGTGAATTTAGGGGAATTTTTTCTTGAAACACATGCTACCAAGAAACAAAACAAAAAAAATTCAGACAGCTTTTCTAAAATAAAAGGATTCATTTCAACTCCTGCCCTTCAATAAAATCAGATGTGTCTGAAATGGTTTCGGTTATAGTTTCAATGTAACCCTTCCATTCAGTATTTTTTCTTTATTGACGAACTTCAATCACGCAATGTTCATAGATCATGCAACAAAAGTTGATCATTAATTAGTTCCAAGAAGTGTACTATTCTTGTACATGTAGTTGCAAGGTCGTTACGTGTGGATCAGGCCGGTGTTTATCTTCGGTTTCCTTGGCATGAAACGACTGAGAATATTTCTATTCCCCCTGGACGGGATGCTAGTCCATTGCAGGTTACTCCCCAAGCTAACACCAGTACCCATTATATACTCCTACATGTAGGTGGAGAGAGGCAAGTGGGGGTGAAGTGGCTTGCCCAAAGGACACAACATATGACCAGCAGCTGGATTCGAACCCCGGACCCTCTGATCATGAGCCACGAAATCCTAATCACTAGACTACCCCCCCCCCCAATATGACACGCTAACAAAAAATTTAGCCAAGGTTTTTATAAAGTAATTGTACACATACATACAAAATTTCCTGAGCATACTTTTGTAACTCAAACTTTAATTAGACCCCACCTCAATTCATATCCCGGTTGCATTCTGGTCAAGTTGCGGACAAGTTGAGGGTGGAATCATTAACTTTGTCCGTAAGAACTCTGCATTTGTCCCGGACATGTTGCAGGGAAATGTTCATCAGCATATCTTCATTGCGGGAAGATTGTGAGGGAAGTTGTTCAGAATCCCGCAACTTATACCCGATGGAACGTCAGCAACTTGTCCGGAACTCGTCCCAGACATGAATTGAGAAGGGCCTTACCTGTTTGGGTTGTTCCAAGATGCGAAGGTGGGGCGCCGACAGATCGTTGAGCGTCTGCTGGCTCATACCTGTCATCACCTCCAGTTGATGCAGGTCGCTAGGCAGGCCGCCCATCATCTGCGGACCGTTGCCGTTTGTCGCCATAAATGCCTGTTGGTACATGTCGTTGGGTATCTCAACCGATTGAAGTGAGTCCGACCTCTCCTCATCCGACATCCCTGATTCCAAAGAGGCTCTTGCCGATGTTCAATTTGGTCTTAAACCAAACAATGTCCGTCCTGCAGCAGAATTCTGAAAGGAAATTAAGGAATGATAGAAATTTGTAATATAATTTGGGAGGCTAATCATCCTTGCTCGCAGCTTAGAAGTTGAATTGTGAAGGAGGCGGCTACAAGTTGGTCGAGCCGCTGGCATGTACAAATGTAAAGGCACCTCTGGCAGCCAGCCACATCGACCCATATATGACCACGGAGCACAGCCTGAGATCAAAAGTGTTTTACTTTTCCGGAGGAATCTGGAGAGCCCGGAGAAAAACCCTCGTGACACAGGAGAGAACCAACCCACAACTCTACTCATATGGCATGTATGGTCCGCGGCCGGGATTCGAACCAGGGCCACAGTGGTGAGACGCGAGCGCTTTTACGCACCAGCCACGGCACAAGCCACGCCTTTTCCGCACAAGCCACCCAATCAAAATTTAGTTTCATACATGTATCTGCAATGTTTTTGGCCTCATTTTCTGCACCCACCTTATTTTTATTAATATCGCTTGGGTTAGTGTTGTAGTCAAGCCAATCACAATTCCAGTCACAAGTACATGTACATGTACATCACAAGTCCTCTCGATCAAAAGTCTGTCCACTATTAAAGTTTGTGAACACTTTTTCCAAACATTCAACAATGACACTGCCAAAAATAGTACTACATGTATGAAATTTCGTAACTGATTGTAAGTTAATAAGAGTTTCAAGCATCCTGTGCCATCATTTTCTAGAAAAAAAGGAATTACATTTGCACCATCATAATTCATTTCCTCGCGAGAAAACAACAGGTTTTTTTTTTTAAATAATGCCCTAAATTGACCAAATATAGTTTAGGTTGCTATTGGTTACACATCCGTGACAGACAATAATTTTTCCCGAGTGACAAACTGGGGATCACACTGCAAGATTCAAAAGTAAGTCAAAATGTAATGACAATTTTTGGACGGGAGGCTTTCCAGGAAAACCTTGCATTGTGCCAAAAAAATTGCATTTTCACAGTTTCACAGTTTGAAATCTAAACTACATGTATGCTGAAATTTTGAAAGAGTATTTTTTAATAACCTGCTTTAGTCTTCAAATTACAATGTAAGTGTATTATTACTCCTTGAATTGGCAAAAATACAATTTTTGGGGCATTTTATTTGGCAAACGGTGCCCAATAGACCTTTCTCAGGATACGCCATCTTGAAACTCAAAGCGAGGCAAATAACACAAATAGTGTATGCGGTGATTGAGTGACTTTCACAAAGTGACGGCCGATTGACGCTCTTATCAATGGATGGATAGCTGAAATTCCCCAAAACGTCAATCAACATTTTTAGGTACATGTAGGTAACGACTCATTGTATTTGGACGAAGGATATGACCCAAACAAAACCAGTGGCTGAACTGAAGTTTCCGTGTTGGTTTACATCGTCATAGTAGAACCGCCGTCACATCAGAAAACGCAGTGGATAGAATGGAAAGATGAATTAAGAAAGTCCTGGCCTATTTAGCTTCGGATAGACATGATAAAAGCTCTACAAATGCCCGTTAATCCGTAGGTTAGTTAGTCATGTTAGTTACATGTAGTCATGGTAATAAGTATAGTAACAAATGTTCACATTGTCTATTATTGCTCCTACATTTTTTGACCAATCTCAACCAAACTTTGTCGGAAGTATCAGTAGCCCAGCCCCAACATTTCAAATTTCATAATTTGTTGACGCTTTGTTGATGACTGTAGAGGCTTGGTGACCTAGTTGACGCTTGTTGACGCATTTTAGTAGGACCCGTTGCATCAGAAATTGGAATTGCAGACAAAGGTACAGTCGTTTTCCTAGTTCCGGATAGCAAACATCATTCAGGCTGCTTTCGGCTCAACTACTACACGAATTCAAGTGACATTGATTAAAAAGTTTACCTTGAGTGATGGAGACACCACAAAATAATTTTCAAAATTTAAGCTCTTTTCATTTTGATTTTACGACGTCAAAAGTGCCGATGTCACTTTTCCTAGTTCCGGATCGGTTCAATCAGTTCCGAATCGATCAAAACTGCTTCACGCGAAAAAAAAAAATTCACGCAAGAAAATCTTTTTTTTTTCAGCCAGAACCAACCGAATCAGGCATACATATATTTTCTGATATTGATAAAGTATTATTTCATTTGCCAAAAATAGTTCATTCAAGAGAATTCCAGCAAATTTTAAAAAGAGAAAAATGTTTGACGTAAATGATTTTGAAACTTTTGTCTGCAGCGCAAGGGCTCAAACTCACGCACGGACTGAAAATCTTTGACCCAGCACAGAAATCGTCACACAAAATCGATTAACACTCGTGTAGTTGGGTCACAAGTGCACGCGCTATCCAGAACAAGGCAAAAGCATACGGTCATTTTCAAAAATTAGAGACTTTACAACTTATTTTGATTCAACAAGCAATTGATGGAAGAGTTTATACGACTGTAGTGTATGAACAAAATATTCGAAATCACACCGTAAAAGTGATATACCGAGGATAAAATTTATCGTCGATTCGCAGCTCCCACGATTTTCTACAAACCGTCCAAACATGTCGAAGTGCGAGTCGGAAGTCTGCCCAAAATTCCTCTTCTAAAGATTTTATCAGAAACTTTGTGTATCAAGGAGCTTACATTTTCCTTTTCAAAATTCACATCGTCCAAAAAAAATGTATTGGAGACTAATCCAAAAGCGGTAGGTTTTTATTTGAAGCTATCCGGAACTAGGAAAAATCTGGAACTAGGAAAACGACTGTATTTCGTCTATCATCATTATCAACAAAGTGCATTTTCCAAAAGCAAAGCGTACTGACACCCCCCCCCCCGAAAAATAACAATGCTAGAAGGCTAACGGAAAGGTCATGAAGGTGCCTTCAAATTCTAGAAACAAGGTTGCAACATTCCTTCCTAAACAGTATACTTACAGTTATACTTATACAGAAATCTGCACAAATCAAGTTAGGCCTATTCCAATTTCCGGACAGCGCTGTTGCCATACGATAGCGTGCGCAATTTATGCACGTTGAATTGGACAAAGATTTTCTCGACAAAATAACTTCTTTCCACGTTTCCGTTGCAACACCAAATATCTGCTCAACGCGGCAACGTTCTTTCACAACAATCAGTGGAAAAATTCAGCGTCTCACTCTCAGTTTGTAGTTCGGCGCAAAAGTGGAATTTACCAGTGGAACGAAAGCGTTCGTGATGTTGCAACGCCGTTCTATTTTTAGATTTTTGGGAAAAACCCGCGGACAGCACGGGATTTCCCCTAATTGCAACTGGTAACCGGCGGTACGTAAAGTCAAGGGCGATGACTACTGAAACCAACTGAATTAATCCTGTGTTCTATAACATCAGTGCGTCATCAATACATGCAATCCAACGGTACTCATAATAAAAGCCAGCATGAGTGTAATTACAAAAGACTGGTGCATTCCCAATATTTCACAAGGTGACATCTTAAAAGCATGTGCAACTGCTTGACGTGCAACGCTCATGGACACACGATTATCAATCCTATTGGTGGCAGCATTATGTCATTATTTTGGTATCCCAGAAAAAATGGCACGTAATTATATTGAGCAATTTCAAAATAACAATCAGTAGTGATCAGTGCTAATATTAAGTGCAATAGTGTATGTCTGTAATGTTGATGCTTATTGTTATTATTATCAATGCTGTAGGGGTATGCAATATATTTTTTCCAATACAATCCTTGAAAATGCACCTTTGTGCCCCATTTAACCTTATTTTCATTTTTTTTTTTTGCCATTTTTAAAGGGTATTTTGGTGCCTCTTTGGTTTTTATGTTAATGAAATGACCATATTCATGAGAAAAACTGAGATGTCATTCCGGGCAGAAACCTCAATGTTACAGCTATTTCAGCACAAATAAAATTGCTAGGATTTGGGATATTTTGCTGTTGTAAATGTTCTTTTCTTTGGTGATTTGTTGTCATGGCAGTATAAGCCAATGAGCAAACATTTCGATCACAAATGTTTTCAATGAGCAAATTTTGGGTTCACCATTTGAACAGATAACCCTACACTTAACAGTGTCTTCCTGAAATGACATCACAGCAACAGCGCCCTCAGTTGTCCGCAAAAGCATGGCATTTTTAAAAAGTATTTAAAGAAGTGCACTTTTCAACAAAATTAACCAAACAGGGATGTCAAATAGTTTCAAACATTTAAGAGGAGTCGAAAGTTGCACAAAATGTTTTCCAAAGAAAACTTCATCGAGTGCCCCTTTAAGTCTCATAAGGTAGCTGCCAACCACGTCCCCAGGGTGCTGAGCAGTACGCGCCCACCACTATCTGCTTACTTTTTGAAACGAGGGCGGAAATAAAGTAAGCACTGGGAACGAGATTGGGTAGCTACTCGATAATGGTACAGTTTACTTTTCAGCAATGTTTACTGTTTCAGATTATATCGTATTTTGTGAATTTGTTGTGGTTTTTTTTGGCTTTACCGCTTTGTTTCACTGTATAGATGCAATTGTTAAATTCTACAAATGAAATCAAATTAATGCAATGATGTTGAAGGGGAACTCTAAGGCCGAGAAAAATAATATAGTTTCTCGTCCGGGTTTTTTTTTATAAAAATGAAGGAGGCGGGCACTTTTTTTTCCCAAGATGGTAGATTTTCCAAGATGCATGCATGGATTCTTCCTTTTTTTTCGACTCTTTTGATACAAAATTGTGTCCAAAGGAGCTACAAAGCTACAATTTTGGCAGAAACAAATAAAAAGAGTATTGTAAAACGTACGAATTAAATATATTTAAAAAGAGGCAGGGGACAGCAGGAAGCTGGCGGACACGAGAAACTGGTTTATGTTTTTACTTGGCCTAACGTACAATTCAAAAACTGCAGTGCATGCTTCCATGTTCTTTTATTTTTATGAAGGCCCTAATTTCTTCCCACTCTACTGACATAAAAGAGCGTCCTCTGTTGACGAAATAATCTTGACCGAGGTTGTGACAGTTGTAGTCAAGCCGCCGTGGTAGAGGGCGCAATAACAACAAGATGAATCAAATCCAGTCATGGAAATCACGCGTGCGCTACGTACCAAACTAGTCCTCAGACCATGGTCGACCTGCACGGACTGGTTTACCGTACTGGTGACGTGCACCATTATGGTAAACCTAGCCCACCTTGACAATCTATACCCTCTAATTCTTTTAACCGAAGTACCCAATCCTGCATATCACAAACAGACTGACATTTCAGGCCCGTATACGCAGGGGAAGGGGGAGGGGACGAGGGTCGGAGACCCCCCCCCCCCCCCCGAAAAAAAATCTGCCGCAAGCGGCCACTTTTTCCTCGCCACTGACATTTGACTTTTTACACAATGTTTAAGTACATGCGCGTATCACCGATGTGTAACCAATTGCAAACAGAGTGTGGACTAACTAAATTTTGTGAATTGGGCCAGCATTTTTTTTTTAAGTCAGTTTTGTGCAACGATGGTTGGCCAACCATAGTTAGAAATTGATACAAAATTTCCACTTTTCTTGAAAATGACAGCACACCAGGTTCCATGATTTATTCACGTACAGTCAAGAAAGGTATATCATACTAATTTGGTAATTTTTCGGGTCACTGACAGTTTTTAGTCGAGTTTTGCCTCGTGACTAAAAAAAAACACCTCACAACATAAATTTCCACTTTGCACAGAGCTGGTGTCATGGGAAACTAGGACTCCTATGGAAATCTGGTGGATTTAACCTTATATGGACTCAAACCTAACACGTGACCTGTCACTGTCCTAATTATGCTCCCTTAGACATGCTAGAACCAAATGAGTCAGTATTTCGAGTCCAGATTTTACAGTACATCGATTCAAAACACCATGGGCTGCCAAAAACGCTGTTTTGTTTCCTTGTTCCATAATTATGTTTCATTATGACATTCTTATTATGGATATAGGCTTCCTATTTTTCCCTTTACTCGGAAAATATTTGACGTAAGGGAAGTCAATGCTCACTTTTGAGCGGACGCAATCCAGTCTTCCCGGCAGCCAGTCTTTCCGCCTTGGGGGAAAAAACTTTCGATACGTTCAGCTCAGTTCAAGTTCGCTGGTTCCCACCGCTCTATCCAAGGACACATGACCCCTGCGCACAAAACGCACGTATTGTTTGTGGCGAGTGACCCACCCACAATGCTTAGCGACCCCGTGTTTCCTTTACAAGGTTTTGTGGAAATGGATTACCGGCGACCGCCGTTGGATAGGGTGATGGGATGAATGAATTCAACAAGATACCTGATTTCGTGGAAAGGAATCCACAGGTAATGACCTAGCCCGGAACTTCTTCTTTTCGACATCCAGGTTCAAGTTAAATGTCCACACGGGAGTTCAAATGATTTGGGATTGTATAAAAGCGCAGTGCTTTTCAAGGTGTAAAACATTTCAACGCCGCTCGCAATATTGACTTGGCATTTTGTGCAGTCGAGTTTTCTTTGGAAAGTCTAGCTTTTGCCAAGCAATTTCTAATAGTATAAAATCCATCTGAAGACAAAACGAAAACGAAACAGTATTTCACTTTTTGCTAGGCCTACTCCAGTATCATGTCTTGCTTGTTTCTGAGACGTTGGCTCACTGCCAACGTCTGTATATGTATCCTGTTCGTTTCGGGCATCTGCAGGGCCATTCCTCACCATACTAACATGAATGAAGGCGATACTGACATGGTGAGTCTTAACATGCATGTCTTGCTTTTCTAGCAGTTGTTGTTTTCTGTTATGTTTATTGTATTGTCAGTCTAACTGACTGTCTGGCTGACTAACTGACTGTCATTGTATACCGGGCAGTACTGTCGTGTAGGATTACCATGTAACGACAATGAATGGTGTCCATTGTGTAGATAATATGTATAAAAACAGGCGCGGATCTAGGGGGTATTTGGGGAGTACGCCCAGCTCTGTCTACATTTCAGATAAAACCTGTCTACATTTCAAATTTTTTTGCTGATGAAACCCCCCCCCCAAAAAAAAAAAATTCCTGGATACGCCCCTCAAAAAGAATTCCAGGGAATAGGCCGAATCAACTTTGATTTTTATGTGCTCTTTACACATTTCTGGGTAGCCCATTCGCTGGAACCCACTGGTCTCACATGGGGCCTAGTGAAGAGAAGACAATGTGAAGAAATTACAGTTATAGATGTGGGAGGAAAACCCCAGAAGAATATTCTGAGGTAAACCCACGGAATCAGGTATAGGGACTGAAAACCCATCCCACATGTTGGCCCAGGCGGGATTCGAACCCGGGTCACAGCGGTGGAAGGCGAGGAAAGTACCGCTTCGCCAACCTGACTCCCCAGCTATGGATTTGCCTTGTCTTGTTGTTTGGGCTTTATAGGGTTTCGTGCGATTGAATGGTGTAACAGTTCTTCAGTTTATTATAAAAGATTGTTGTTGGAGTGTGGCGTTCCAAATATCTCAGCGGTAACTGAAATTAACCAATTGCAGCGAGTACCAATTATTCGTTTTGATAAAAGGAGGAACAACATCTGGTCTTCAAAACAAAACAAAAATTGCTCCTCCGGTATTAAGCTGACTCTCTGCAGAAAAAAAATAATATATTATACTCCTAACTGACATTACCAATTCAGAAAGATATCCTTGGATCAGGAGACGACCCTTCTTTGAAGCAGGACAATATTATCAGCAACACCGGGCGAGACTTGTTGAAGATGGCACAAACAGACACCGACAGTATTGGCGGAGGTACGCGGTAAAATCACTCGCTCGCTGATAGGTCAAATTTATCACCTGCTTTGAATCATATCACCTGATTGTTCGGAAAATCAAATCGGAGCCAGTTTCATGGAGCATTTATGCAAATTAGCCTTGCTTAGTAGCAGTTTTGAATCGGCTTTTTGAGCTGACGTTTGCTTTATTTTATTGGGGTCACCAAATGTTTTGAAATGCATTAATGAAGTGAACACACTTTAAATATTCTAACTTCGGTCAAACTTCAAAAACATGCATAATATTAGATTATGAGTGCTAGGAATGTGAGATAATGTCAAGAAATGTCAAGAATTTAGGTAAATGTTTCTCTGAAAATGTGTGACCAGGATTACAGTGCGGCACCACAAGGATCGTGGGAGGGCATGTTACCGAGGCGCACTGGCCGTGGCAAGCCGAGCTTTACGTCAAGAAGACGGGGCGTCATCTGTGCGGAGGCACGCTAATCGGCAGGGAACACGTACTGACTGCCGCTCATTGTTTCGATTCGTAAGTATAGGCACACTTAATAAGTAAACGGAAATGTTTGTACTAAAGGCTTGCACACGTAGAATAGCCGGCCCAACCGGAAATCTACAAGTACGCGAGAATGGTCGACAATCTTCTGCCCAAAACCATAATGTACCTATTTTTAGTTGAAATCAAAAGATGGCCTAAATTCCTACCACTTTTACAAAGTGCCTATGTTATGCAGTTATGACGCTCTAAATTACAACAGTTTCGCCGACTTGTAAAGTAGACTGCCCCCCCCCCCCTCCAGATGGTCCAAAGGACAATGGGGTCCGGGAACCAGACTAACTTGTAAAGGAAACGCAGTGTCGCAAAGCATTTTGGGCATGTCACGTTCGTGCGCGTTTGTTTATGGTGTAAATCGAGGACACACACTTGCAACATCATCGGTGAATCGAGGTCAGAAACCGAATCGAGGACTCCTCGCTTGGAAAACGTGTACAAAACCAATAAGAGCTGTTGCAAAAAAGTTCAAGTACAAACAAAGGAAAAGGGAAGAGGAACAAAAGAAAATCCTCGATTTACACCAAACACAAACGTGCTAGCACGTGTCGTGTACATAATATGCGGAGGTCCTGACCGGGGTAATACTGTACAAAATGTATCCACTGCATGATAACTCAACTAAAGTTGTAACCAAGGTTTACTTTAGGGGCCATTCAGAATTTTCAATGTTTTAAAATTTCGAACTTTTTTCCAAATTGTGGGTGGGTGGGTCAAGCTAAATAATTGAAAATCGAAATTCACCTCCCATGGAAAAAAGATTTAAAATAAACAAAGAAAGATAGATCTTTTGACTTGCTGAACTACGCGCAAGCGTTCCGATATCGCGATGCGTGTTTCTTTTCCAACTTCGTCCCCTGTATATACTGCACACGTCATGTACGTGTATATCCCTAACTCCCTAGGGGGTGTGCAAATTCATATTGAAATTGGAGGATTCAGGACTGTTAGACCCACTGTGGCATGAGAGGGAGGTGGTTTTTCAGTAGACTTGGACGCCGGGCGTTTGTAGCGGTTAGGCCGTGCAGAGGCAGCAGGGTACCAGGTGTACTAGATCGGCTCTATAACACGCCGCGGGCGTCGATTACCAATCGCTATAAAAACTGGTGTATTCAACAACTGGACTCCAAGACTACGAGGACCGCAGCCTGTGATGTGATGTCTGCCCAAACCTGATGTTTTTCTTTCGCTCGTACTCCCCGCCCTGCAAACAGGGCGGGGGGGGGGGGGGGTACGAGCGAATGTTTTTCTCAGCTACCTCACGTGACAGGCACAACCTCGTATGTCACATGTCATCCACCTCATCCAGAAAACGACAAAACCACGGTCATCTTTGTGGCTTCCAAAACTGCAACCTGTCATTCCCAACAGCATATCAGCTGGCAAAACACAAGAAAACTGAAGGTCACCAGTGCAAAAGAGGAAGACCGACAACTTCACGCCGTCACTGAACTAGACACACATGTACATGTGTATACATGTTCAAGTTCAAGTATATGTACATGCAAGTGCATGTACATGTACTTGTTCAGTTTTTTATTAATCGAAATTAGGGGTGGGTGGGTCAAAATAATTTGGAAAAACAGTCGAAATTTTAAAACATTGAAAATTCTGAATGGCCCCTTAACTTTCTGCAGGGCGAATTTTGAAAGGTTTTTTTATTGCTTTTATAATTTTCAGATATGACACGGCCGAAGTCATGGTTCGCTTGGGCAGCCGCAGCCGCACCCTCGAGGAGTCCAGTGTGCAGACGTATCCCATCGCGTGCTCACACGGGCACAAACGGTACAGGAGAGAGACAAACTACGACTACGACATCGTGCTCCTGAAGCTAAAGACGGCTGCAGCGGAGGCTACTCCAGCGCGTGGTGTCCAACTCACCGAGCACGTGGCACCGGCGTGTTTGCCAATTCGACGAGAATTTGGCGCGGATGCAAAATGTGTGGTCACCGGTTGGGGATATACGAGTAAGAGGCGAGATTTCATTGGTTCCCTCGGTCATTCTCGCAGCCAATAAAAACGCAGGTTTCTCACTTATGCTTGAAAGTCATGATGAGTTTCAATCTTGTAGATTGAGTTTTGAATGTTGATACTTTATCAAGTTTATAAGGGCATGAAAATGGCACGTTAGTTAGGCGAGGGAGTGTGGACTAGTGGTTAAGGTTTGTGACTCTTGATCAGGGTTCGAATCCAGCTGTTGGCCATAATAATGTTGTGTCCTTGGGCAAGCCAATTTACGACAACTAACCCCTCTCCACCCTGGTGTATGAATGGGCAGCGGCATTAGCTGTGATCTGCAATGGACTTCCGTCTCATCCACAGGGAATAGAAATATTTTCAGTCGTTTAACGCAAGATAAAGGAAAATAGTTTGTGTTAATGTTAAATGTTCTCTTCTTTGTCTCATTTTTTCTGTACCACTGATGTATTGACTTTTTTCCCAGGTTTTAGGAGTCTTCTACTTGGCAGGCTTCCATCGGAGCTAAGAGAAGCAACGGTGCCCCTCATCAGCGCCAAAACGTGCCGGAACGCCTACGGATTCACCCTCACCAGCAGAATGGTATGCGCCGGCCACATGCACGGCGAACGGCGGCCGGACACGTGCAAAGGCGACAGCGGGGGTCCGCTTGTCTGCCAATCACAGGACGGGAGGTGGAAACTCTGGGGCGTGACGTCATGGGGCGGGAACCAGTTCTGCAGCCAATCGCCGACCGATCCGGCACCAGGGGTTTACACCAGGGTGGACAAGTTTGTGAATTGGATCGAGAAAAAGATGTCGGCAAAACGATGTTTCAAATGATTAGAACAGCCAGTAATAATATTGTATTATTTATGACATTATAGAACAAGTATTTATTGCATTTTTAATTCGGGCAATAAATTTTGCTTAATTCGGGTTTTTTTCTGGCTGAAAAATTGATTTTCTCGCGCAATTTTTTTTTTCGTGCGAAGCAGTTTTTGATCGATCCGGAACTGATTGAACCGATCCAGAACTAGGAAAAAGGGCATCGGCACATTTGACGTCGTAAAGTCAAATTTAAAGGAGCTTAAATTTGGAAAATTGTTGTGTAACATCTCCATCATTTAAGGTAAACTTTTTAATCAATGTCACTTGAATTCGTGGAGTAGTTGAGCTGAAGCTGATGCCTGAATGATGTATGCTATCCGGAACTAGGAAAACGACTGTATTGGAATTCTTTCCGAAAATAAAGCACATAGGCCTAGTTTGGGTCATGTCTTTTTTCTCCATGATATAAATGAACTATTATTCTGTAATCATTCCAAAATTAATTTTAGAAGGCGTTTTTGGAATTTGGTTTTTGTCTGGCATTTTCTTCATGGTCTTGCATGTCGGGGATGAAATGTACCGACTTGCTTTATTTATATGTTTATTGTTTACTGTCATTGACTGTAACTTTTTAAGGGGCCCATTTTAGAAATAATTTCGATATCTCAAACAGACTTTTATTGAGATGAATATTTGTGAAGAAATTGGACTCTCTCAGACTCAGGTTTTTTTTCTACGGAGAGGCCTAGGCTATATTATGAGTCACCTGACAGCACAATTTGCCCATCTCTCTCCTCCAGTGATCCTCTTCTGTGTGAGGTCTGCCCAAACCTAATGTTTTTCTCAGCTAGCTAGCTCAAGTGACAGTCACAACCGCATAATTATTTCACAAGTCATCCACCTCATCCAGAAAACGACAAAACCACGGCCATCTTTGTAGCTTCCAAGACTGCAATCTGTCTTTCCCAATATCAGCTGACGAAACACAAACAAATCTGCAGGTCACCAGCTAGTGCAAAAGAAGAAGACCGACAACTTAACGAGGTTGTGGAATGCTAGAAGACATTTCCGTCATTTTTCGGGTATATGTAGCCTAAGGTGTGATGAAATAAAAACGACTATTGTGTCTGTCATGAAATGAGTACAAAAGGTACTTTTGAGAGCTGTTTTTCAGGTCCTGTTTCGACCCGAACGTGCAATTTGTGTAAAAGTCGTCGTTGGGGGCAGCAAACAAAATATAGTAAATCGTGACGTAATAAACAGGACTCGTTTATACTACACTGCATCGGAAGTCCTGTTTATTACGTCCACAGACATCCATAGTCGTGATGGAAACATGTTTAAAAAGTAGGTACACAAGTGTTTGGAAAATTGTTCTAAACTTGTTACGTGCGGCGAACGCACGGCAAAACGGGAATCATGACTTTTGAAGCAAAGGCAAAAATAGAGACAAAAACACTACAAACAAAATTTAATTAATTCGCCTAAGTCATTCAACACGTCAAACGTGTTACAGCAAGCAATCTCGGTTAGTTTGCAACTCCATGCAAGAACTCCAGAGCATTATATACAGGCAAAGCTAAATTAATTTACAAAGAAGTTAGCAAAGCAGCAAATTATTCAAACAGGCAAAATACAGTCAAGAACAAGCCGGCAAAGTAAAGTTGTTAAGCAAAAACAAAAAGGCAAATTGTATTGGGCCGAATATAACTACCAATAAGGAACCAGTAGCAGGAACAGGTCCCGCCCAGCCAGTGCCCACAACGGTATTAGCGCAGCCGTCGAACCAAGCATCCCGCACCCAGCCGCAGATCAGCCAAGCCACAGGTAAATCGGCGTTGAACCCCGGAAAGTCAGCCACATCAGTCGGGTCATGCGCCACGACAGTTCAGGTCTCCGTCCGGTATACCGTCAGCCTAGTCGGCAACGATCCAGCGGTGATGTTACATCGGTAAGAACGGCGGGAGATGCTAGCTCAACGACGCCCTAATGGAAATCGCACATAATGGTTGTACATGGGCACCAACTCGGAGCGAATAAAAACCAGTCAGTGCTTATATAGGGTATTTACCCGCGCGTAGCCACCATAACAAACATTCATTAAATACCAAAAAATTCTAGTGCGGGAGCAAACCGTACTAAAGGATTACAACAAAAGTGGGTTTGTAAACAAAGTCTAAAGGCAAGCCCAGTAAAACCGCTCCCAAAACGCTAAAAAAAATCATTTTATCATTCAGAATGTCCATTCACTGGTGTCTCTCCATGCATCTCTTCCTGGCAAAAGAAAAGAAAAAAAATCTTCTTTTTAACTTAATTTGCCAGATTGGGCCCATTCATTGTCGTTACGGGTAATCCTATACAATAGCACTGCCCGGCTCACAGGTGACAGTGAGGCAGTGCAATGGGTGCAATGAGGACATTAGGTGGGCTCTCTGGGACCACCAACAAGTAAAATCAGGATCAACTCTGTGCAGTCGAAAATTCCAGTACACTCCATCTTGAACAAAATGTCATCCCTTTTCAGTATTTAGCGTTTAACCGCGCACACATCGAACGGCTCTGGTACGTAGGTAAAGCTGGGAACACCCCTCATGGACGGTTTGGGCGCCCCCAACGGCAGCTTGAAAGTGAACCTCTGGAACAGGTTGGTGACGAACAGGAACATCTCCATCCTGGCCAGCCCCTCGCCAAGACAACTCCGTCGACCTTTGACACGAGAAGGCAAAACAAAATCGACAATCAGAAAGGAAGATGTTATCTCGAAAAGAGAAAAAAACGGGGTGTCTTGTGGCACTACCAGAACGAAGTAGCTATCTGGGATACAATTCCAATGATACTGAAAGTCACTTCTGTCTGGTACCAAACGATTCTGATAAATCTTACAGTTGCAAGCCAGTAAACAGGCTCAAAATTGCCTACGCCGGCCAATTCACGATTGGCATGCCATCAAATTCTCCGCTATTAGAACTCTTTTGGCCGTGAACTTTAGGGTTTGTTATAAAAAAAGGTAGAAGCCGTGCAGAGAACTGCGAGCTCGTATTTTAGTGTGAAATTTGGATGATATTAGGCCCTAAAATCTCTCTATTTCGCAATGGAGTGCAGGCATCAGTTTTTTAGAATGGCGATGGACTTCGGGACTATATTTAGGGTGGACATTTCTGCCAAAAATCGTGGGATTATGCCAACAAAAATTGAACAGAAAATAAAAGACAATGAAATGGGCTTTAGTTTGATGCGTGTCTCAAACACCTTGGAGAATTGTGAGTATGTTTCCTGATTTATGGAAGTGGGGGTAATTTCTCAATTGGGTCTATGACAGGTTACACTGGTCTGCAACCCTACGAATGCCAAGATCTATGAGAGACACAATGTACGTGTCGTGAGGTCAAGGAACCAGACTGGCTTCATGTTTGAATACGAAATCATTATTTTTCAGCGAATTATGGCGCTCTAAGGCGGGTTGTAAATGTAGGGAAACAACAGCTGTCAAAATGCTGCAAGACGTTGATTTAAGGAAAACTGCAAATTGAGTTTCTTCATTCATATAACTACATGTAGTCTCGATGATATTTGTTCAACATGGCCCACTTACCTATTGAGAAGGGTATGAATCCCTCATGTTGGATGAGTTTGGTGCCATCTTTGCTCAGAAAGCGGTCAGGGTTGAACTCCTCTGGACGATCCCAAACCCTGGGGTCGTTCATCATCGTCCACAGAGCAAAAAACACATCTGGTGCAAATTAGGCAAGAAAGGCTGAATGAATTTTACCTAAAGGCATTATCCCCAAAGTAACCTTCCCACAAATCGGTCTCAAAAAACTTACTGAGATTATGAAGCATACTTGATTAGGCCAAAAAAAAAAGTCTCCGGTTTCTGGTATGCGCGCGCGTCGCCGTAGCCATGCGCGTCGGCAAAATGAAAAAGGTTTTTTTTTCAATGAAAGATGATGTCTCAAAACCGCCAAACTCACTGGTTTGACTGGAATCCTGCTGCTGCACAATTTTAACGTGTTTTTAGATTGGGTTATGGTCGAGAATAAGCTTTATGTGGCCTCTCTGGACTCCCATATATTTGCACTAAGTTTAGTCGGGCACCATTTGCAGTCATCAGCCGACATTTAAAGCAAAAAAATCAGGTAAAAAAAAAAAAAAGCCGCGTCGCCGCACCACTTTTTGGGCAAGCTCCATACCAGAAACCGGAGACCTTTTTTGGGGGGGCCTTAAAGATCGTGGACAAAATGTTGCAACCTGACGCCACTTGTTTTCTTCATATAGCATCTCAATGAAGGCACTTCATTGCAAAAATGATGATAAGACATGCATCTGGGACTGAGAAACATTTCCAACTTTGTTAGGAAATACTTGACTCTCCATAGACTTTGTACACAATTGCGGAAGTGGCGTCAGGTTGCAAGATTTTTATCTAAGATCGTACTGGTATTAAATACCCCTTCAAATAATTCCATCTGGCTTAAATGCTGTAATTAGAAGAAATCAAGAAAATGCGGACGATTTCCAACGATTAGTCCTTTCGGGCGATCCACAATGCATTGCGCAACCAAGAGCCAAGGAGAGTCCACGACTTTTCAAGTTTACGGTGGACAAAACATGGCCGATTTGAATGAGTGTGTCAGTAGACAACTTTAGATAATTTGTTAAAGATAGGGGCATAGCGTTCTGCTATATTGATAAAAAAAAAGGGCAAACAGAATACTCGAATCATACTCTTACGATGTCCTGCGCTACGAATTTGTCGACCATCGCCCATAATTACTGCACTGGGAAAATGAACTCTCAGTGGCAAACTCTTGGTGGCGCACTGCATTGTAAATCGCCTGAAATCCATTCACAATGCATGTGCGCTACCAAGATGGGCTTCGCCCCAACCGATATCGTACCGTTCCCTTTCGGGATGGTGTAGCCTCTCAACTGTATTTCTTGAGTCGCCTTGTAGGGTAGCGCAGAGGCCGCAACGGGCCGGAAGCGCTGTATCTCGTTCAGGACCGCGTTGGTGTAGGGCATGCTGGGACGGTCCTCACAAGATGGCTGCCAGTCACCTCCAACCACCTCACTGATCTCTCTCTGGATCTGAAAAATGCATGCAATGGTGCAGTGGTTATTGAGCGGGTGCTATGAGGCAAGCGTGAGCCAATAAAATGGCAGGAGATTATATTTCTTGGTTTTTGCTTTTACCTTTTCTTGCACTTCGGGGTGGTTCAGCACGGCAGCTACCAGCCACAGGATCGTGTTTGAGGTTGTGTCTGTCCCCGCACCGAACATGTCAAAGACCGAGTGCCAGATGTGCTGAAAGGCGAAAGTCGCGTCCTTGGTACTCGCCGAGGCGCCGCTGCGCTCTCGCTCTTTGATTTCCCCGATGTACAGATCGATGAAGTCCCGGAAATCGTTAGGATCATAAGAATCCCGGTGCTCCTAAAGATTTATAAAATAAATTACAATGACGTACGTAGTCAGCATGGGTAAGATCGAGGGTATTTAACGCCCCCCCCCCCCATTATTGTTATGAGTGCCTTTTTTTCACAAGCGCCATTTTCATGAACGGCCTTTTTAACGATGGTTTTTTTTAAATGTCGCAATATTATGGTTACAGACCAAAAAAAAGACTGTCCTATAGACCACAGGAATCAGTACAAGTCTAATCTCTCTGTTGTATGCAGCGCTGAATCAAATATCAAGTTCGCTGAATCAATGTCAAGGTCCGACAACCACTGTGTCGCGTGTCGAGTGTCACGATCGGGCCACCTTTCAGTTTTCTGATTGGGCATTCTTTGACAATGTGACGGTCTGATCAGCAGCCCTACAGTCACACTCAGGTGTTGGCTTCATATGCCATTTGTGTCTAGCATGAGACCAGTCCGCCCGTGGCCAGTGAGGATCCATCAGACGACACAAGCTACTTCTGGGAATGTCGAAGCCAGCTGGTACTTCAGAAGGTGACCGCAGTTCTTTGAGGGCATTTATATCATCATCCTTTCACTCTGCGGACCATTTCTCAATGATGAGATGATCAGCAGCGGTTTGTGGTATATCCCGGTCTGCAAGGTAAGCGGGCGACCCTTCATTGAGAACGGAGACCGGAATGGGAGCCGGGTTGGCAGAGGATCACCTGTCACAGCTCTATGTAGGAGATGATTGCAGTCGGCTGCAGCTCTCCATACAGGCTGTCGTGGCAGTGAGAGCTTCCCGTCGAATGTGAGGTGGTGGTTTGTTTGCTAGTGGCTAGATGTGGGGGTCGATTTGACTGTCCCATTGACTAGTTTCATTGAGGCGTTTAGATCCGTGTTCCTTAAACTTCGGCGTATGTGAGCTTGCACACCAGACTGGGACACAGTATTCAGCCGGCGCGTACACCAGGGCCAGAGTGGACGTCCGTACGGTGGGCGTGTTTGCTCCCCATTTTGTTCCAGCTACTTTCCTGATGAAGTTGACTCTGGTGCCTATTTTCTTTTACAGCTTTTCAGATGAGTTTTGTAGGACAAACTCCTATCCAGGGTCACATCATTATGTTGGATTGTGAGCATGGTCCAGCTTTCTTTCACCCAGGGATACACTCTGGGTGAGCTTTGCTTGTCTGTTGTTTAGGTGGAAAGCTGAAACAACAGTCTTCCCAACACTAAAAGTTAGATGCCACTTGTGAAAGTAGGCATCCATGTCTTCAATGTCCTTGGTGAGGGTAACTGACAGCTCATCAATGGTCTTTGCTGGGGTTGCAAGGCATATGTCTTCAGCATAGATGTACTTATTGCTGTGGTAAATGGAAAGTCTGCCGTGTAGATGTTGAAGAGCGGTGGTGCAAGGACCGATCCTTGGGTAGGCCGTTGCGTAAGCTGCGGTGTCTGCTCATCCTGTTTCCAAGTTGGAGCGTAAAAGACCGGTTGTTGATGAGCTCCATAATCATCTTGATGCTAAGAAGTCTAATACGGTTCTTATTGAGTTGCCATGACAAGCGCCACCTTTTGTTCGATACTGCCTGTGGTCGTCCATTTTGAACAGCGCCCCCATGCATAGGAATATGATGTCAGTCCCTACCTGATTCCGCGGGCTTCCCCCAGATATATTTTACTGGGGTTTTCCTCCAACGTCTTAAACTGTAATTCCTTCGCATTGTCTTCCCTGAACATGTTTCTTTCTTCATATTGCGAGCTTACTTTGTCAGGAGCGCTTTTGAGAAATCTTGCTTTCATTACCAGAAAGAAAAAGATAATAATTTCATAGAAATTGTTTACCTGAACAATTCCGTTGATCCGTTCTCTTATGTATCTCAGACATCCATGAACTTTGGAGTAGAGAGGGGTTAGGATGAGCAGGGGAAACATATTTGCCAGCGATCCAAAACCGGTAGTGTGTAAGATATACTGCAAACTGCGCACCAACTTCTTGAAATTCGGGTCGTCGTAATCGAAACGGTACCCGAAACAGACGGTGCAGATGATGTTGGACACCGCGTTGTGGATAATGAGGTTGGGATCGAAGGATCGATGCTCTTTAGCTTCGATTCTCTCCACCAGGTATCGAGCCTCCTCGTTGATCTTGTGCTCCAGGCTCTTCTTGCCGACTCCGAGTTTTCGAAAGGCACCGAGGCCGAAGTGTCGCTGCTCTTTGGCAGACTCGCCGTCGGCAAACAGAAAACTTCCTGTTGAAATCATTTGTGACGTAATTACAACAGATGAATTATGCATAAGTTATTCGAGATTGATTTAAACTAAAAAAATTTTTTTTAAAAACCACTGTATGACAATTTTGGATAGTCAGTTCCTCATTTTGTGACTATCCAAGGTGGCCAACAAAGATGTATCAAACCCATTCTCTTTCAAATGTTATTCTTCTCGCTGGATCTGTTCTTACCTTTTGTACCCGTGAGTGTTGATGCTGACGGCACAGGGGCTCTGTCCAGGAGCCGTTCTCCTTTACTCAGCAGCAACTCCTTAGCTGCATCGATGTCGCTGATGACGATGATAGGAGACCTAAAGGGCGACATCCCGACCGACATGACGCCGCCGTACTGCCGGCCCCAATCCATAAACAACTCGTGAATGAGCTTTTTGGACCGGGCCAGGGCTGGAATGTTCCCCAGCAGGGGCCATCGCCACGGCCCCGGCGGAAGGTTCTTCTGTCGGCCTCGGAGCAGCCACAAGACCACCAGGAAAATCAGCAAGAAGACTCCGGCAGACTTGAGATCGAGAGCGCCGGTGAGCGAAGAAAAAACAGCTGAATTCTGACCAGCCATGATATCCAATTCCCCTCACTACTCTATTGGATAAAGTGCCACGAATGAACTAACACAGTTCCACAGCAAGCGGCCTTTTATGCCATAATTTTATTTACACGTTTCAAAGTCTACTTAATGTGTCAAGTCATGGTCAAGTACAGCTTCACATTACATGCAGTTTAGAGGTCTCAGTCATAACGTCACGAGATTCGGCGATGTCGTTCATTCACGTTTCACCATTTTGCAGAACACACGCATGCGCTTCCAAAGTCCATGCCTATGGCGTGTCAAACGTTGCAATATTCAATATTTTGCAATATATATGTTGGATGTTCAATATGTGTTTGTTATCTTTTACATTTATGTGCGATCTTATAAGTTTGCGATGTTTTTCATTATTTGCGCGATGTTTAATATATTTGTGCGATGTTTTACAATATATTATGTGTGATGTTCATATATATGTGTGCGATTTTTACATTTATATGCGATTTTCAATTTATATGTGCGATGTTTTCAATATTATGTTCGATTTTTTGCATTAAATGGGCAATGTTTTTCGATACAATTGTGTGTGTTGTTTTAAAATATATTTGCGATATTCTCAAATATGTGAGCAATGTTTTACACATATTTTTGACATTTCGAGCTATTTGTATTCGATGTTTCATCGGTACGGTATGTTTGCATTCGATCTTTTGCAATATGCATTTGATGTTTCCCTTTTCATTCGATGTTTCGTTAAGAGTCAAAGTCTGGTTACTAGACCGCGAAAGTCTGACTATTTTGCCTAAAGTCAGTGTATGAGACGTCAGGGGATCGCGTAAAGTGATAAGAGCCAGACCTAAACGGTAAAAACCGGAATTGTGGGTAATTCTTTAAGCATATACGCAATGCGTTCATCATTGTTTGGGCAATACCCCCAGCTGTGCCTGTACTACCCATAGTGTTATGTGCATCATCTATGCATTGAGGAGTGCATGACACATGGTCTGAGCTCCAAGGCCGATGTGCACCTGTCCCGTTTAATGATCCAGTTACCTGATAATTTGTTTGAAAAATTCCAGATGTAAAATTGGGCAAAATAAGATGTTTTTGAAAAAAAAATCAAATTGTAAGGGGTTAACCTTGCATTTTTTTAGCAAAATCGGGAAAAATCAGATGTTTCTGGAAAATTGCAGATTGTATGGGGTTAGATGTTTATGAAACATTTCAAATTGTAAGGGGTGAACATTGCATATTTTAGCGAAATTGGGCAAAATCAGATGTTTCCGAAAAAATTCAGATGTAAGGGATTATCCTTGCTTTTTTATTGAAATTTGGCAAAGTTAGATGTTTATGAAAAATTTCAAATTATCAGGGGTTAACCTTGCATTTTTTAAGCGAAATTGGGAAAAAATTCTGATGTTTCTGGAAAATTTCAGATTGTAAGGGGTTAACCTTGCTTTTTAAATACGACTAAGTTGGGAAAAATTAGATGTTCATGAAAAAAATTCAAATTGTAAGGGGTTAACCTTGCATTTTTTTAAGCAAAATAGGACACAATCAGATGATCCTGGAAAATTGCAGATTGTTAGGGCTTAACCCTGTATTCCTAGCAAAATTGGGCAAAAAGAAATGTTTATAAAAAATTTTAAATTGTAAGAGGTGTACCTTGTATATTTAGTAAAATTTGGCAAAATCAGATTTGTATGGAAAATCTAAAATGGTAAGGGGTTAACCTTAATTTTTTTAGCAAAATTTGGAACATATTTTACTAAAATTGGGCAGAATCAGATGCTTCTAAAAAAATCCAGATGTAAAGTTTCCGCAAAAACAGCTGTTGAAAAAGAGCCCAATGTTGAACTTTACTGAGTCTGAGGTCTATCGAGGGGACAATCCTTATTTCAACTCCCGGAGATTCGCTGACAGTCTCTTTTTTTCTTTTTAAGAAAGTCGAAATAGCTGAAGAGAGAGGTGAGAATCTATATGTGCCCAGATACAAAGAGTAGAAATCTACGCGTCTGCCTTTTGAAAATACACAGTTGCGGTGTTCATTGTTGCATAATGATCCGCCTAGCACACAACTGTTTTGCACATTAGGCTGTGTTATGCAGCTTCCTAACAAACCAAACACAATGGGCTCATTATATCGACTTGTTTTTACCCATTAAGGTAAAGCAAATGGACCCAGTAATCTTTCTGGCGCGTTTGCTTACCTATAAAGACAACTTTTCTCCGTTTAAGGAAAATAAGGTAACGAAATGGCCGAGTGGTTACGATTCGTCGTCCACGGTTAGCGGGGTCCCGGGTTCGAATCCCGCTGGTGTCTTTTTGGTTTTTAATGTATGAGTTCAATATTCACTATAAGAGATTTAATTTCCCGTCGTAAAGTACCAACAGTACCTTAGCTTAATCGGTAAGCACTGCTGCTGGTACTGTCCGCGAGTTCCAGGTTGGCGCCTTCGTACAGGTTTAGGGCATGTGGTCCACTCGGAGGATCAGGGCTTAGGGGCCGCCCTGTTCCTCCCTTAGCTCTTTGCTTTTACATGGTGCCTGGCCCTCCGGGGTTATATGGATGGATAGGGAAGGAAGTGTGTATTGGTCGGGGACGCCGAGACCCCGGAAGAGAACTAAGGGATCGGCTGGGGCATTGTCATGGCTCAGACCGATCCCTGAAAGCTTGACTAGCACATAACTTTTTGATTTTTTTTTACTTTGGTTTAGTTTGATATCTACAGCTGCTCGGCAGGTCTACGGGTAGTATTAAAGTTGAAACAAAGGTGTTTGTCATAAATCAATGAATTTTTCATAATTGACTATAATCAAAACGGAGTTTCGTTTGATCAATTTGACTATCATTATATAATGACGCGATTGCCAATTGACGTAAGAAATGCCATAAATTATACCGGGAAAGAATAAAGATGTTCATTGTAATATAAATATATTTCTTCATCTTTCAAATAACGTGTCTTTAATTGTGAGCATTCCTAACAATACAGTAATTCGCAATAGTAATAGAATGGTATATGATAGCACGATCAATGCGTCTCTATTAAATTTCAAAAAAATATAATTGAGGCCCCTATGTGTGAAATATTCTTTGATTGACTATGAGCATTCCATACGAATGAGTTAATTCGCAAAATATAGGAACAACAAAAGAGAAAGGAAAAAGAGAAAATTCCTTTACCCTAAAAACTGGAAAAATTATTTGTTTTAAAAAAGTCAAATGGGACACTTCATGTATTGATTTAACAGTTTGCAAGGGATTAACCTTACATTTTAGCAAAATTGGGAAAAATCAGATGGTTCTGGAAAATTGCAGCTTGTAAGGGGTTAACCTTGCATTTTTTAGTAACATTTAGATGTTTATGAAACATTTCAAATTGTAAGGGGTGAACCTTGCATTTTTTTTTAGCGATATTGGGCAATATCAGATCTTTCTGGAAAATTTCAGATTGCTTTTGTAGTAAAATTTGGCAAAATAAGATGTGTATGAAAAATTTCAAATTGTAAGGAGTTAACCTTTCTTTTTTAGTAAAATTGGGCAAATTGAAATGTTTATGAAAAATTTCAAATTGTCAGTGGTTAACCTTGCATTTTTAGCAAAATAGGGCAAAATCAGGTGTTTATGGAAAATTTCAGATTGTAAGGGGTTAACTTTGCAGTTTTAGCAAAATTGGGCAAAATCAGATTTGTATGAAAAATCAAAAATTGTAAGGGGTTAACCTTTGCCAAATTAGGGCAAAATCAGATGTTTCTGGAAAATTGCAGATTGAAAGGGGTTAACCTTGCATTTTAAGCAAAATTGGGCAAAATCAGATGTTTCTGAAAAAAATTCCGATGTAAGGAATTAACCTTACTTTTTTTTTAGTGAAATTTGGTAAAAATTAGATGTTTATGGAACATTTCAAATTGTAAGGGGTTCAGATTGCATTTTTTTAGCAAAATAGGGCAAAATCAGATGTTTATGGAAATTTCAAATTGTAAGGTGTTAACCTTGCTTTTTTAGTAAAATTGGGAAACTTTAAATGTTTATGAAAAATTTCAAATTGTCAGTGGTTAACCTTGCATTTTTAGCAAAATAGGTCAAAATCAGGTGTTTATGGAAAATTTCAGATTGTAAGGGGTTAACTTTGCAGACAGTTTTAGCAAAATTGGGCAAAATCAGATTTGTATGAAAAACCAAAAATTGTAAGGGGTTAACCTTGCCAAATTAGGGCTAAATCAGATGTTTCTGGAAAAATTGCAGATTGAAAGGGGTTAACCTTGCTTTTTTTAAGCGAAATTGAGAAAAACCAGATGTTTCTTAAAAATTGGAAATTGTAAGGGGTTAACTTGGCATTTTTAGCATAACTGGGCAATATCAGATTTATATGAAAAATCTCAAATGGTAAGGGGTGAACCTTGTATTTTTAGCGGAAACTTTACATCTGTATTTACAGAAGCATCTGATTCTGCCCAATTTTAGTAAAATATGCTCGAAATTTTGCTCAAAAAAGCAAGGTTAACCCCTTACCATTTTAGATTTTTCATACAAATCTGATTTTGCCAAATTTTACTAAATATACAATGTACACCTCTTACAGTTTAACATTTTTCATAAACATTTCTTTTTGCCCAATTTTGCTAGAAATACAAGTTTAAGCCCTAACAATCTGCAATTTTCCAGAATCATCTGGACACATACATCTGATAATTTCAGATGTATGGGGGTTAAGGCCAAACAAAAAAATAAGTCGGTCTCTGGTCAGCGCGTGCGTCGATTTTAATCATGCGCGTCGATCTTTTTTTTCCAAAATGTTCCGCGGTAGCTTCAACAGCGCCCTCTATTTCCGCACCTCAATTTCTTTTTACCAAAGAGCACCGAGGAATGGGAAATTGCATCAAAGCAAATGATCGAAAGCACCAAGGCAAATTATGGAGGACACCAATGTACATGAGGACACCAAAAAAGCAAAATAGTATACCCACCTTGTCTGTACAATCCGAGCTTGAAGAAAAGAAAAAAAAAGCAAAAAAAAAAAAAAAGC